GAAAATTCAGAACAATTGCAATTTTCATTTGTTAATCTTTCACAAGTACAATTTAACAAGACAAATCCAAGGCTTAAGAGTGAATTTCCACTTTTGGAAATCTAAGGCGAAGAGAAAATAGATGCCCACACCTTTGTTGATTGGAAAACAAAAATAAAACAAAAACCAAAAAAGGTTAAGACCTCATAACATAACAGTGAACTGCTGAATTGCAGTACACTCAGCAATACAATTCTCTTTGACAATGTTGTTGAAAAATCTATGTCATTGAGACATCTAAAATCTATTTTTAATTATTATTTTTTTAAGTTTCATTTATTTTTGACAGAGAGAGAGAGAGAGAGTATTTTGGGGCATGCGGGGGGGGGGGGGCAGAGAGAGAGAGAGAGAGGGAGACACAGAATCTGAAGCAGGTTCCAGGCTCCAAGCTGCCAGCACAGAGCCAGACGCTGGACTCGAACCCACGAACCAGGAGATCATGACCTGATCTGAAGCCAGATGCTTAACCACTGAGCCACCCAGATGCCCCAAAACTATTGTTTAATGAAAGAAGGCAATACAAAACAGTATGTGCAGTATAATTTAACTGCTTAAAAAAGAAAGTAACACATGGGCGCCTGGGTGGCTCAGTCAGTTGAGTCCTACTTGATTTCAGTTGGGGTCATTATCTCAGCATTGGTGCCGTTGGGCCCTGCATCAGGTTCAATGCTAACAGTGCAGAGCCAGCTTGGGATTCTTTCTCTCTCCCTCCCTGCCCCTGCCCTGCTTGCGCCGCTCTCTCTCTCAAAAACTAAATAAACTAGGGGCGCCTGGGTGGCGCAGTCGGTTAAGCGTCCGACTTCAGCCAGGTCACGATCTCGCGCTCCGTGAGTTCCAGCCCCGCGTCGGGCTCTGGGCTGATGGCTCAGAGCCTGGAGCCTGTTTCCGATTCTGTGTCTCCCTCTCTGTCTGCCCCTCCCCCGTTCATTCTCTGTCCCAAAAATAAATAAATGTTGAAAAAAAAAAAACAAAACTAAATAAACTCAAAAAAAAAAAAAAAGAATATACTACATATACACATAAGTTAAAAAATATATATATATTATATATACAATAGAAAATGTTGTCTTCTTGGGGGCAGACTTAGGGTGGGTTTTATTTATTTTGAGAGACAGAGAGAGAGAGAGAGAGAGAGAGAGAGAGAGAGAGAGAGAGATGGAATGCAGGCATGTGCCAGTGGGGGAGAGGGGCAGAGAGTGAGGGTGAGAGACAATCCCAAGCAGGCTCCACTCTCAGTTCAGAGCCCAAGGAAGGGCTTGATCCCACGACCCTGGGATCACGACCTGAGCAGAAATAATGGTTTGAGGTTCAACTGACTGAGCCGCTCAAGCGCCCCTTAGGGCGGGTTTTATATCCAGTTATCTCTACATTTCCTATAATGATCATCTTTTCTAATAAAAATGTATTACATACGCATTTATATATGGGGGTGGGGAGCAAGACAGAAGAGATTTACAAAATCCAAACAGCCAAATGTGGCGGGTAGGGTGAGGGGCTGGAGGTGGATTAAACCTCCCTTTAGGTAATTCCCTGGTTAAAATCTGGAGACATGGTGGACCTCGACTGCACACCGCCCGGATCGCAGAGAGCATCGTTCCACCAATTCTCCCGGCTGCGGCAACCTGGAGAAACCCAGAAGAAGAATGCAGACCGATACCTCTTTTCCCAAAGATAGTCAAGTGCTAAAAACAAAACAACAACAGCACCCCATCTGGCAGCACGGCCGCCCCCGTCTGGCTGCGAGATCCCCAGGAGAAGGGTGAGCTCGCAGTTTAGGACTACAGCCCTGGGTCCAAAGCCTCCGCCCACAGCCGCGAGGCAGCGCTGGTAGCTGAGGTTCCGCGACCGGCCCCACGGGCTCCCACACTCACTAAGGTCCCCGACACCGGGCTAGCAGTTTCCAGGCAAGTAGGTAAAAGGGTGGGGCGCCTGCGCGAAGCGTCGTTAGGTCCGTCCCAGCCGCGCTCCAGGTGAGCCGCGCGCTCCAGGTGCAGGGTCAGTGGAAGGCCACGGAGTCGGTCAAAGCCCCGGAGCATTTGAAGCCCTCTGGGGATCTGGGTGTCGGCAGGTAGCCAGTCGCTCGCCTTCCGTGCTCCTCGAAGGGTTCCGACTTTGATGTTTGATATTTGGTGGGGATGGCAAAAGACGTGCCTCCCTCCCTCCCCCATCCTGCCGGGAGCAGGTTGCCAAATTGTGCTTACGCGCGCGGAAGGCTTATTGTGTCCCTTTGCAGAATTTTTATGGGCTCAGCTGGTTCGAAATAGTTGTAATCGCTGTTGCAGGGGGTGGGTGCCTAGGAAGCAACACTCATCAGTCCTGAAATGCCATAAACTCTTAGCTGCCTTGCAGTCTTTATGGAGTTTCACGAATGACATATTTTTGGGTTTCTCTCATATCCTACTCTACAGCTTTCTAAAAAAAAAAAAAGTCTGGAAGTTTTTATATTAGTGCTAAAAGTGGTCATCAGTTCTGCACAGCAGCAGATGCAGTTTTGTGTGAAAATGCAGTTTATCAAATTAATGTGCAGATGACAACAGTGACTTTGACTTTGTTAGTGCAAATTAAACTAGGATTGATGGGATTAATTTTACAATTCACAATTTTTTAAAAAAATTACTTAATTGTTTGTAGAGGAATTACTTTTACAAGTAAAAGTGGACATGTGGACAATGTTTCCTGCCCACACTTTTATTTTCTAATAATCCTTTGAACTTTTAACCTTAGTTTGATTTGGTACTAATAGTTTCTTTTCAGAATTTGACATTATTTCTTTGTAGATTATGTCCAGTTCAAGATATATATCAAGTTAATACAGTGATAGACTGTCATTGTGGAATAAATGTACAAGCAATTTTTCCTATTAAGGATGTTTATATATCAAGTATGTAATCATTGGTAATAGTCTAAGGAAGCCATGTTTCTTATGCCTCTAACATTTTTTACTTAAAAAAATTCTGTAATATTTTTGAGAGAGAGCACGTGAGCAAGTGGGGGAAGGGAAGAGAGAGAGGGAGACAGAATCTGAAGCAGGCTCCAGGCTCTGAGCTGTCAGCACAGAGCCCTATGTGGGGCTTGAACTCACAAACCGCAAGATCATGACCTGAGCTGAAGTGGGCTGCTTAACTGACTGAGCCACCGAGGCATCCCTCTTGCTATGTCTTAATAATCTAATGTCTAAATTTGACAGAAGTTCTCAAGGAAGAGAACTTATAAAGCTACTTAATTTCATTGTTTGTATGTTACACTTGAGATTATCTGTACATAGAAATGTGGTATGTAAATTAAAATAATGTACAAAGACTGAAAAAGTTTCAGCATTTTGGTCCTGCTAAAAGTAACTGCATCATCTGGCCCCTTTGAAGGCTTCTAGGGATGTCAGATCCTTTGCTCTATAGGCTTTTTCATTCACATCTGGAAGTGAATGGAGGACTCACTCTACATGAACAGCTGGTCCATCTGACTGTTGTGACAGCAAAGGAAGGATTGGTATTTACAGGGCAACTGACACAACAATGGGCAGTAGGGGTGGAATCTGGAGAGGTGCATAAGTGTTCATCCAATATAGGCCCTGTGCTATAAATACCTTTCTGATTCTTATTTGTGTTTGTGTGAAGCAGACTAAAACATCTTGGACAAATCTGCCATGATGACCACTCTGTGACTTGAAGCCTTCTTGAGCACAGGCCACCTTTCCCCATTCTTTCTCTTGGTCTAACTACACCCTTAGGTTGATCCTTGGGGCATAACATCTTTGATGTCCTCTGGAGATACACCTGTTCTCAGGTATTTCCTCCTGAGTGGTCCTGCAGCATATACTCCCAGCCTCCAGGGCTGTAAAAAAGTAGGTCCTAGGAAAGATGGACTTGTGGAGATGTACTCATGTTGTGGCCATCCAAGACATGCTTCTGTCCCTTCTGTCCTTAAGTCCCCCTAATAAACCATTTCTTGTCACGCTGGACTCATTGGCCGTTTCAGTCTTAGGGCCTTGGTTTTTGGAGGTCATTTTGCATATACCTCCCTTCCTTTTACAGAATGGTGTTTAACCACCTTTATATTTAAGAGCTACTCGGGGCGCCTGGGTGGCGCAGTCGGTTGAGCGTCCGACTTCAACCAGGTCACGATCTCACGGTCCGTGAGTTCGAGCCCCGCGTCGGGCTCTGGGCTGATGGCTCAGAGCCTGGAGCCTGTTTCGGATTCTGTGTCTCCCTCTCTCTCTGCCCCTCCCCCGTTCATGCTCTGTCTCTCTCTGTCCCAAAAATAAATAAAAACGTTGAAAAAAAATAAAAAAAATAAAAAAAAAAGATCTACTCACATTGCCTTGTTAATTCTACTTTATTCCTTCTGAATTCTACATAGTATTGCATCATATGTATCATATTGCACTTACTGATTCACTTAGTGATGGGCACATAGGTTGCCTCCAACTTTTTACTAAGATAAATAATGTATTGTGTCTGCCCCCGCCCGCCCCCACCCATTCCTCTAACCAAGTTTGAATCTTCAAGGAATACTCATTGCACGGTACTGACTGGGGTGCTGGCAGCTAGTAAGTATTATTTAATAAGTATTTTGGGAACTGACTTATGGAGGGCCACAAAAACCAGGTAGTGTGTTTATTTGACTCTAGGTCAATTGCTGAAACTAAATTTATAGAAAGCCATTTCCAGTATGAAAAATGTGTTGATCCAGTTTGCCAAGACCAAGTTTTGTAAATTACCAATCTGATGAGTTGTTGAAATCTGTTAAAAAGTTTGAGCTCTGGTGTCTCAGCCTTCTGTGAGGCGAGCCCAAGGACAGGGACAAGGGAAGTATACCAAAATAGAGAGGAACTGTCAACTCTGTTCAAGAAAAACTTCCACCTGTTTGTGTGTCAAATGGCTGGGTAGATGCAAAACTAAGACTTTGGGAAAAGTCTACTTGGCAATCTGGCTTTCAGCTGCTAGTAACAGGCACAGAAAATTAAACGAAACTGGTTTTATTTCATAACAAGCTGTCTAGAGATAGGCAGGGGCTGGTGTTGGATCGGCAGCTCAACAACGTGGGGACGGGCATCTCTGTGGTTTTCTTGGCCCTTCCTACCCTACTGCAGCTTCAGCCTTTTCTGTAGTGTCTGTGGCAGGAAGGGGAAGAAGAGGTGCCCTCGCTGCATCTGCGCTTTTGACCAGGAAAGCAGAAGTTTCCCCAGTAGTCCCCCACCCAAAGCCGTGTGTTGAGACCACCCCTAGTGGAAGAGAGGCTGGGAGAGTGAACATCTAGCTTTTCCAGGTTCTTAGTGGAAGCAGGGCTGGGGGGACAGGTGGGAGCAGATGGCAAGCTGGACCTGCCTCTCCCTCTGGTGTAATTAATTTCTCTTTCAAAATGGGTAATTTCTATGTCAAGAACTTTCTATCAACGATTTTAAGATTATACTTAAAACAGTTCTCCTTTCAGTTATGACATCTTTTTAACAGATACATTTCAGCTATACTACCTTTTTTCCCTCTTTTTTCCCCCCTAACATTCTGGAAGGGGGCTAAAAAAGAATTACTTCATCTTTCAAGAGACAGTGGGGGGGAAAAGTCGAAAGGCCAACAGTGACAAAATACTTTCAACTACTCCTCTGCCCAGTCATTGTCCTTCCACACCAAAGAACATCTGGAAAACATTTGCACAGCCTTTGGAATTTAAAAACTGATACAGCTGACCGAAATCCATATGGTTTCCTCGGGCTCCATTCACGCTGAATACTTTTTCTTCAAAACATGAAAATTTTCTTTCTCTTTCAATTTTGTCATTTGCACCATCAAAAGGAATGTCTTCTCGATGGCGAATTAAAATTCTCTTCCAGTTTAATTTTCTGAGTCTGAAAAGAAAGTTTCAAAGTAGAAAAACTGAGAATTTGTTTTGCCTTCCAGAGCACTGAAAATACAAGTTATATAACAGACTTAGCAATGCCTCTTCTTGGAAGTAAAGAAACCTACTTTTATCTCACAGGGATTTGTTTTAATCAAATATGATACTGGTCACCATCCTATCCCCAAACTCATTTATTGCTACCACTTCATATCAACATTTTAGAAATGTGGAAACTGCTCTTAGATTCTCAAGAGGACGTCTTAGAAATTCATTTAGGAAGTCAGTACAGAAATGAGAAGATTAGAAATCCCTTTGTTTCATAGGTATGCACAGTTTGTCACATCAGTAAGAAGAATCAGATCAATGGAACTGGAGGGGATCATAGCATATTGGGCAGTGGCTCAATTCAACAGTTATTTATAGAACATCTCCTATGTGCACTGTGTCAGGGAAGGGGGGGTGATGCCAACCATGTGTAAATTCTGTCTTATCCACTGACTTGAGACTGAATCCCCATAAGGTACAATCCCAGGGATATACTAATTCCCTCATCTCTAGTATCCTGTTTACTACTGAAATTATTGACCCAGCATACAAAATTTGTGAAAGCAAACCTTGACCAGAATTCTTCACAGGCACTTTGTGGGCCTTCCACACAAACAACACCAGGTTTCCCAGGCATGCTAAATCCAGAGAGGGAAAGCTCCTTTGCCCACTCTAGAATATTCTTTCTTTTGCATTTGTTGTAGATGTGATGGCTATAGATCCACAGTCTTGTGAGAATGAGATCAACTGGCTGGACTGTACTTCCTGGAGCAGGGCAAGGTGTGGTGTCTCTGCTGATATAGCCAGAAGCATGGTCTCTAACCCACTCTGTGGCATTCAATATACAGACATCTCCGAGACAGTTCTTTTGCAGGTATGCAGTTAGATCTGTGTTCAGCTGAGTCTGCTGAGATCTACTTAGTGATACTGATCTGATGGAAAAGATATGGAATACAAAAACTAAATCAATTTTCTTGCAACATAAAACAAACTTAAGAATTGCTTTCATTTTCAGATAAATTTGAAGTCTAATGTTGGCCAATTTCTGTAACATACCTGACAGTAATTTCAGGCAGAACTTCAGGGTATTTAAAGGGAAGAATACAGGCCAGAGAAAACATCACCTGATAAAAAAGGAAGAACATGTCCTAAGTGCTGTTTTAAGTCTTGATATATTTTAGTTCTTCCAAAAGCAAACTGAATTACCATTTCTTCCTCAGATATGTCCAGGTTCATATTGATAGTAAAGTAAACTTTTGAAGATCGTCCATCCATTGTCCTCTTTTCAATACAATCTTTCACTTCTGCTAAAGCCAGCTGGTCATTCACTATGAGCTCGTTTTCACCGGGGAACATACTGGCGAGCAGGTCTAGCTCAGAGAGCTGGGCCTCTGCCTGTTCAATCTCAATCATTTTTGGATATCTGTAAAATTCTAAGGAGGTGAGGATAAGAGAGATAATTTATAAATACAATCTTGGGAGAACTTAATAGATCAATATAGGTACTTATTGAAAGTGTATTTGATTTCTTCATAAAACACGAAATTTAAACAGATGTAATACACTAAGGATCCAAACCATAGGCCAATCCAGTAAAAGCCATAAAACTCTAATAATAACCAGGCACCAAATCCCTCTGTATCTAGATAGTTGATTTGGCATCTTGAGCTACCACAATGAGCAATTTCCTTGAAGTAAACTAATTATATAGTCAAGAGTCATATCAATGATATAGCCAGGAGAGAGGCTATGACTGGTTACTTTGGAAACCTAGAATGAATAGAGTAGAGTTAGTTATGTAGATGGTAAATATTTTTCTCTTAATATTAGTGTTTACTGGTTTTTAAAAAGCAGAAGACTGTGAAGAAGAGAAAATAAATGCTAATAATCCACAGTGCAAGTAACCCCTACTAACATTAAAAAAACAAACAAACAGGGGCGCCTGGGTGGCGCAGTTGGTTAAGCGTCCAACTTCAGCCAGGTCACGATCTCGCACTCCGTGAGTTCGAGCCCCGCGTCGGGCTCTGGGCTGATGGCTCAGAGCCTGGAGCCTGTTTCCGATTCTGTGTCTCCCTCTCTCTCTGCCCCTCCCCCGTTCATGCTCTGTCTCTCTGTCCCAAAAATAAGTAAACGTTGAAAAAAAAAATTAAAACAAACAAACAAAAAAAACAAAAAAAAAGGACGAGGTAAAAAAGTCCAATGGTAGAAGGTTGAAAAATGAAGATACAGTTTCTGCTGGTGATCTCTTCCTCTATCTGCCTAAGTCTCCCGTCCAAGGCAAAGAGTTTTGGTATTTCAGAAACAAAACATTTTAGGCATGACATATATACCTCTATAGAAAATAGATGCTGGTATAAAGTTTAAATGTATGTAAAAAGTGAGATATATAATCAGAGTATACCCACAGGGATCACATATACATATATTCCCCCCCCCCCACTTCTTCCCCTCCAAATATATGTTGCAGATCTATTCACAGTCAGTACATAGGGGTTTGTCTCATTCTTTCTAGTGGTTGACTGTCAGACTGAATCATGCAGACATGTCATGATTTATTGCATTCTTTACCTATTGATGGGCACTTGGGTTGTTTCCACACTTTTGCTGTTATGAACACTTCTACAATAGAAGTTCTTTTTAGATATACAGTTTGGCAAACTGTTAATACTGTGTACTCAAGGGTAAGTTTGTAGAGGTGGCTTGCTGGAGCAATAGGTATAACATTTAAAATTTTGGCAGATATTGCCAAGTTGTCTTCCAAAAGTTGCCATACTAAAGCTTAAGTTTTTACATAGTAACCCCTCTCCTGTTTAAAAACAAAGAATTCATTTTTGATTTATTTAAGTAATCTCTATCCCCAACATGGGGCTTGAACTCACGACCCTGAGATCAAGAGTGGCACACTCTTCTGAGCAAGCCAGGCAACCCTAAGAAAATTCTAATAGTCTTTTTTTGTGGTATTTTGTTTGTGTCTGTGTGTACCACTCATGAGTTTTTAAGTAGGCATATTCACCAACTTTTGCTTTCATAGCTTCTGGATGTTGAATCTTTGTTAGAGAAGTCTTCCTCATTCCAGGCTTATAAAGGTTACTGAGATGCTAATCAAGTAGGATTTTTAAAAAATGTTTAGTTATTTATTTTGAGAGAGAAAGAGAGAGAGAGAGAGAGAGAGAGAGAGAGCGAGAGAGAGCGAGCACAAGTGGGGTAGGGGCAGAGAGAGAGAATCCCAAGCACGCTCCACACTGTCAGTGCAGAGCCTAACCTGGGGCTCAAACCCACAAACCGTGAGATCATGACCTGAGCCAAAGTCGGACATTAAACTGACTGAGCCACCCAGGCACCCCCAAGTAGGATTTTTTAAAAGATAATTTAATTGCATTTTCCCGAAAAAGTGTGGGGACTTCTGATAAAACATGGAGGATGAGTCTTGTATAAATATTTCCCTTTCTCTGTGACCCCATTAAAATGAGAGTAAAAGGATAAATTCTCAAAGACAAAGGGAAAGGGAATAACAAAAGCTATTAACAAAATTTTGAAAGGTGGAAAGTGGCAAGTGAGTTATAACTAACTTACATTTCAGCTTTCTTTCCTCTATTAGCTGCTTGGTCAGGTGGGTAGGGAAGTTGTAGAACTTTAGGAAGGCTCAGGAACCAGCACTAGGTACCTTAGAAAGCAGCTAGAAAACATGAACTTGTTGAAAGTCTAGAGTCTAGACTTAACAAGATTCTAGTTTAGGATTTCTCAATCTTGGAACTATTGATATTTCAGACCAGATAATTCTTTGTATGTATGGGTTTGTGTGGGGGTGAGGGGGGCAAATCTCTGCCTTTTAATTATTGCATTTAGACAATTTACATTTAATACAATTACTGATATGTTAAGGCTTAAGTCAACTATTTTATTTTCTGTTTGCTTTCTATATTTTTCATTTCTTTGTTTTCTTTTCCCTGCCTTTTGTAGCTTGAAGATATTTTGGAGTTCCATTTTGGTTAATGTATAATGTTTTTGCATTTCTTTTTATAACTCTTTTAGTGGTTATTCTACACACACCTATATAAAACATCACACACACACACACACACACACACACACACACACACACACACGTAAAACATCACCAGTGTCTTATTTTAACAGTTTGATGTGCAGAAACTTTGTTACTTTATGTTCCTTTACCTTCCCCCATTTGTAATATAATGACCTTAAAATTTTCTTCTGTATACATTTAGAACCACAAGAGTGTTATACTTTTTGCTCCAGCCACCAAGTATAACTTAGAAAACTCAACAGAAGGGAAACCCATTTTATTTGACCATACTGTTGCCTTTTTCATGACATTTCCTCCATAATAATTCCTTTTTTGTTTCTTTTCCATATAGAGAACTTACTTGAGCCATTTTTTTAGGGTAGGTGTGCTGGTGACAAATTCTCTTAGTTTTCCTTCATGTTAGAATTGTCTTGATTTACCCTTCATTCCTGAGGATATTTTCACTGGATGTGGTATTCTAGGTTGACAATTCTTTACTTTCAGCACTTGAAAAACATTATGCCTCTTTATTTTGGCCCCCAGTTTCTGGCAAGAAATATTCTCTTATTTGAAACTTATAGCTAAGGTTCATATCTTGCTTGGTTTCAAGACCTTTTCTTTGTCTTTAGTTTTCAGAAGTTTGACTATGATGTCTTGATTTGAATTTCTTTGAGTTCTTTGTGCTTGACATTCATTCAATTTCTTGAATCTGTTTATGCTTTTTGACAAATTTCAGAAATTTTCAGCCATCATTTCTTCAAGTACTTTTTCAGCTCTGTCCTCTCCTTTTGGAATGACATGTTAGATCTTTTGTTATAGTCCCACATGTTCTTAAAATTGTTTGTTCATATCTAAAAATTAAAATTGTTTATTTTTGGCCTATTTCACTCCATTGTTTAGATTGTATAATTTCTATTATTGTGTTTTCCAGTTAAATGATCCTTTCCTCTGTCTCCTTCCTTCTGTTGTTGAGTCTATCTACTGTGTCTTTAATTTTGCTTATTGCATTTATCAGCTCTAACATTTTCATTTGGTTCTTCTTTATATCTTCTATTTCTTTACTGAGACTCTTGTTTATTTATTTTGAGAGAGAGGAGGGGGGGAGGAGCAGAGAGAGAGGGAGGAAGAGAATCTTGAGCAGGCTCTGTGCACTGACAGTACAGAGCCTGATTCAGGGCTCGATCTCATTAACTGTGAGATCATGACCTGAGCTGAAATCAAGAGTCAGACACTCAAATAACTGAGCCATCCAGCTGCACCACCCCCTGCTTTTTTTGCTTGAAGTGTGTAATTGCTCACCAAAAAATTTTAATGATAGGTGTTTCGTTTATTTTTTAAGATGTATGTATGTATGTATGTATGTATTTATTTATTTATTTAAGTAATCTCTATACCCACTATTGGGCTTGAACTCATGACCCCGAGATCAAGAGTCCTGTGTTCCTCCAACTAAGCCAGCTAGGCAGACTTAGGATGGGTGTTTTAAAATCTTTGTCAGGTAATTCTACCATCTCTGTTATCCTGGCATTGACATCTATTTTTTGTTTTTTTTCACCTAGTTTGAGATTTTCCTTGTTTTTGGTATGTGAGTGATTTTTTTATCGAAATCTGGACATTTTAGGTATTATGAGACTGAACACTACTCAAATCTTCCATTTTAGCATACTTTTTCTGATACTGCTCCAGAAAGGAGGGTAAAAAAAATGGGGGACTTATGGCTAGGAAGGGTGGGAGTGCCTCCTTATTGCTACCCATTTGGCCTCTGCTAACACCATGTTGAGGGGATCCTTTGTTACTGACAGGCGGTGGTGAAAATCTGGACTCCCCACTAGGCCTTTTGGACATCACTGCAGCTGGGTGAAGGAGAGATGCCTTGTTATCGCTGCATGAGAGTGGAAGTACAGGCTCCCCATGTGGTCTGACATGGATGTGACACAGGTCTAACACCAAAACTGTGGTAAGGTCCTTCTTATCACCAGGCAGGGAAGAAAGTCCTGGGTCCCTAATCAGATTGTTTTTGGTACCATCCTGACAAGGAGTGGGCACTGAGTGCTTATTACAGCTCAGTGACGATGGAATCAAGGCTCCTTTTGCTGGTGTGGGTCAGGTAGAGGCTATAGTGTTTTCTGTGCTATTTGCTTGGTAGAGAGCATTTAACTATCTAAATGTTTTCCATCTTGCTTGGCTGCACCTTTCTTGGTACTTTAGAGAGAGCAGGCTTTTTGGGGGCTTTAAAATTCTTTTTTGGTCTGTACCCTTGGTATTTCTGGTTTGCTGCTTCTTTAATCAAGTCTGGGATATTTGAGGCAAAAAAGAATACCGAAGGAAGTTACCACTGTGTCCTTCCTTGGGTCCCAAGGTCCCTAGTTGATCTGACTTCTTCTCCACTTCTTTTGTGTTTGCTTTAGAAATAATGTTCAAGATTCCTAGTTGTATTTAGCAGGACAAATTAGGAAAAGTATACCTATTATGTTGTTCCAAAAGTGGAAGTCCCCCTAACATGATAATTTTAACTTATCAAATTGGCATGTGTTCACAAACACACACACACACACACACACACACACACACACACACACACACACAAAGGTGGTTAATGTCTGGTAAGTGTCACAGAAGAAAAAGTTGCTATAGGAAAAACTGGTCTAAATATTCCAATTCTGTGAAGCTGACCTATGGAAAAAAATCAGACATTATATAAAAAAAAGTTTTTTGTAAGGATATTCACTGCTTATTATTTACAATAAATCAGAAATGACCTAAGTGTTCAACAATAGATCAGTTAAATAAATATGTATCTAAATAGTAGAAAATCATGAGATCATTAAAAAAAATGTATATTAACACTGATGTTCATGATACATGGTTACCTAAAAAAAGTAGACTGTAGAAGGATATAAACAATTATGGTCTTACTATTCTTGTTATATCATTACACATACATGAACAAAGTCAGAAAGAGAATTTACCAAACTATGAACAGTTGGATAAATGTGGGTGGAGGGAAGAAGGGAAGGACTGATTTGTATGTTTCTGTATTGTGTGAAGTTTTAGGATTACTATTTAGTGCTTTTGAATTCAGGAAAAAAGAAAGGTTACACATCTGAAAAGAAAAACAGAGCTCAGTCCCACTGCTGCAAAGGAAACATGGCTTACCTTCTCCAAGAGAATTTACTCTGTGAAATCAAACACCATTATCTTGGTTAATCCTGTCTGTCTTCATGGAATTCTTCTCACCTCTGGTAAATGTTTATTGAGTAACTACTATATGTAGAGCTTCATCCTTCATTCCTTCCTGGGGTTTTCTTTTTAGTTTGAGGATCAGGACGTATTATCTAATAAGATATATAACAATGAAGATAAAAAGGCTAAGCGTTAAATGACCAGTGTAGGCATTATCGTGGGGATTAAGAGGAGTGCACGATCAATGAAATGGGCCATCAGGAAAGATTTAAGGAAGGAGACAGGATCTGAGTCGAACCCTGAAGAGAGGCTGAGACCAGTGGAGAAGGAGACATAGTGGGAAGAGAAGAAAGGTCTGTGAGGCAGGAAAGCACAATTAAATTGGTATGGGCCTGAACCTGTCCCTTCCTCACAACCCTGACCACCAAGGCCTGGTTAGGGGCTCATCATTTGGACAATTTTCTCTTGTGCTAGTTACTTTTTGTTTGTCCCCTAAACACATGCTTGGTCCTTCTTTTCCCTGCTCTGGACTCTGAAAAACTGACTTCTGCAGCCTATACCGTTCAACTTTTCTGCTTTTCTTATGGTTAGGTTCAGCTAATGCCCTGTCAGGAAGGAGGAGGATGGCAGGAGAAAGAGGGTAGGGTATTTCTTCACTACCCCTTTCCTGTTTGGGTGGGATTCTAACAATGGCTGTGACCCCTTAAGACCATAGCTTTTGTGGGCAGTCCTTCTTCCTCAATGCCAGCAGACCTTTCAGGCCTCAGGGTAGTAAGCGTTTCTTTAAACCTGGCCACACCTCTGTAAACAGCCCCTTCATTAAGTGGTCTCTTCAAAATTTCAAAGTTGAGTGTATATCTATTTCCCTCTAGAACCTTGACTTCTCTTACCTGGACTCTGCCTCCATCAACTCATGCTCTGAACTGTCATCATACGTATTGTATGCAGTGTCTAACAGAGGTCTCTGAAGACACTCAAGAGAGTACCGACTATCTAACAGAGAAATGTTCACATAATTTGTGATTGAGTGAGAGAGTTGCAGTCTGAGAGGAGGGGTCCGGGTGTGTTAGGTTTCCCTCAGTTCATGGCAAACTAGCCCAAGACCCTGACAGCTACTTAGTGGAGTGAATTCATCCCAGTTGGTGATCTGGCTGTTAGTTTCACAGACTGGTAGCACAAAACACCAGCACATGTAGAGGGGATCCAGGTCACAAAGGTGCCTTGGATGATCCATTATCAAGCCCTCTAGCAACATGTCTCTTCCGTTATTCAAATCTTCTTTATTCCATCCAATATAACTGATCATTTCTTTAATATCAGAAAATGCTATTTGGTTGACAATTGAGCTAGTTCACTGTATGGTACTTTTAAAGAATAAAAAAGTTCTACTTAAAGAGAAATGTCAATTACTCACAGGTGGCAGATCAGTAACAGTAATGGGTTCTGTCACAAACACTTCAAGGATTATGAGAATGACTAAATGTGGTGGGGTGTTAAGTTCATTAGGATTAACTGGATAGGAATCAGGAAAATTTGAGGCACTCTTGCACACAATAGGCTATCTCCATAGATCAGAGCATAAATCAATGCCAACACATCATTCCTAATCCCAATGCTTTTTCAACTTAAAGTCATTAAAACATGGTTTATCAGGGTGTCACTGCCATGCTGGGGAAAAAAAAATTACACAAAGAATTTTGGGCTTAAATAAGTTCTGGAATGCTGAATGACACAAAGTTTAACAAGCTTCTTTAGGGTGACCATGAGTCATGCCATTGTACCAACTTAGTTTAGCATTTATCTTAGACAAAAATAACCCCGTTTGGAAAGTAAATTATATGGGCACACTTTTTGTGTGTGGCATCTCAGTCTTTATTGTTACATTCCAATATGCATTGTGAATTTCTAAGAAGTTTAGGATACTGAGTGTCCCAAACCTATTTGACCCCAGAACATTTTTTTCCCTAGACCTTCTACACAGATCAGGAATCCCTGGTTTGTCCTCTAACCACCCCAATTTAAGTAGTTTAAATATTACCAGCGCTACTCACCATCGTTAGGCCTTTTCAAAAACTGTTAGAGCAGCAAACACTTCTCCCTCCCTTAAACACAATGTTTCCTTTACTAGTGACTTCGTATAATTTTATACCCTATTTCCATTTGACATGCTACCTTAAGCATTTTCTCTGTTATTAAAAAAAATATTCATGTAAGTATTTAAAATCCCTGACCTCACTGGAATTCCATGAATATCTTTTCTAGTCTGTTTTATTTTTTAAATGTTTATTTTTGAGAGAGACAGAGAGAGAGAGGAAAGAGAGTGCACGGAGGGGAGAGGCTGAGAGAGAGGGAGACAGATAATCCTAAGCAGACTCTGTGCTGTCAGTGCAGAGGCCAACATGGGGCTCGAACTCAGGAACCCAACTGTGAGACCATGACCTGTGCGTCAGAACCAGACGTTTAACGGACTGAGCCACCCAGGCACCCCTAATCTGTTTTAAAAGGAATCCAAGAAACAACTGGGTAGATGGCTATTAGAGGAAATGAATTTACTTTGGCTTTTTATCATAGTGGCTTAAGGATGTACTCTGTGACTTAGACTGCCAACCTGCCCGTACCAACTGTGTGACCTTAGGCGGGTGGCTTAATTTCTCTGTGCCTCGATCTCCCCATCTCCAAAATGGGAATGATAGGGTCACTTGAGGATTAAATGATGATGTGTGGAAAGTGCTGAAAACAATGTGTGGCAATACAGCAAGTACTATAAAAGTGGTTGCTATGATTGTTATTTGTTATTCATTCACAGATGTTTCTTGAGTCCCTATTGTGTGTCAAGCATTGTCCTTGGCATTAAGACTATAACAGTGAACAAGAATCACACAAAAATCCCTGCTATCATTGAGACTTAATTCGGTGGGAGAAGACCGTGACAACAAAAAACAAATATGTATGTCTAGTGGATAAAGACTGAAGAAGATGAAGGGGATAAGGAGCAAGTGGTTAGGAGGGAGGAGAGGGTTTTTCAACTGTACACAGGGTAGTCAGGGACCACTTCTCTGCTAAAGGTGACTACAAGGAAGAGACTGGGAGGGACTGAATAATGAATCTAAAGCATTAAGAGATTGGAAGAATGGATTTGGCATTTATTTAGGTAGGGAAAATGGTGGAAACTTGAAGCCTGGTTTTAGAAATACTATGGAATGGGGGTGCCTTGATGGCTCAGTCAGTTAAGCCTGCGATTTGTGATTTCTGCTCAGATCATGATCTCACAGTTCTGAGTTTGATGGGTGGCTCAGTTGGTTAAGCAGCTGACTCTTGATTTCTGCTCATGATCTCATGGTCTGTGAGTTCCAGTCCCGTGTGGGGCTCTGTGCGGACAGCATGGAGTTTGCTTGGGATTGTCTTTCTCCCTCTGTCTGTCATTCCCCCCTCGCACACACATCCTCTCTCTCAAAAATAAATAAACATTAAAAAAATAAAAAATTCTCTAACAGTACATTAAAAAAAGAAAATATGGAATGAAGTGCCTATTAAGACACCTATTCAGTAGAGATGTTCAGCAGACAGATGTAATTACGCACTTTATGAGGTATCCAGGTGGAGATGTAATTTTGGGAGTAACCAACATACAATAAAGGCATGTTTGTTTGGTCACTCAGGGAGTGAGTGAAGTTGGGAGAAAGTCCCACAGAGTCTGGAGGTCTGGAAGATGAAATGGAACCAGCAAAGAAGTTTGAGACCCGTGTGCGGACAACTCTGGGAGTGATGTCACAAATATATAATTTACTTGTCAAACTTATTTCTGTAGATGAGATTTCAGTGCAAACAAACAAAAAAATCTTGAAGAGAATTTTCTGACTCAAGATTTCAATGAATGCTGTACAAACGTAGAATAAAACTTGAGTTTCCTAAGTGGAGTCATTCTTTTTTCCTCGCAAATTTTTATTTTACAGAGGAGATGGGGACCAGGCTGCACAGGACCTGACACTGGGCAAGCGGCTGGAGCCCGTAACCGAAGCCCTGTGCGCAGGCGCCGTCGCCCCTAACACCTGACCCGCACGGGGGGCAGTGCCGGCCCCCCCCGCCCGCCCCGCGGCGGTCCCGGCTGTGGGCGGCATCAGGAATTGCTCTAACCAATGAGCAGCGCGTAGCCCGCTGGAAGGCGGTGCCACTACATCGCCAAGTTGCCTTAGGGTAAGACAGGCCCGCAACATGGGAAACCCCCGGTGCTGCTGGGTGGCAGTAGACGGAAACCTCACCTGGAGCGATGGATCCCCTCCGTGCTGGAACCCCGGATTTTCTGGCTGCACGAACAGCTCAGGTCTCATCCAGAAGGAGCCTCAGATTTCCAGAGCTAGGCAATCCGAAGCCCGCAAACTCCAGGGGGGCGGCCTACGGGAAGTGAGACGACACCCTCCCGGCTTGGCGCATGCGCGCGCTCGGGGCCGCGCGCCCCGGAAGCCCAGTGATGCTGGCCGGTTGGTCCTGGCACCTGCTGGGTGGCTGGGATTCTTGGCTCCGCTCTGTTCTCAGTCATAGAGTTCTTCTTATTCTACCCTATGGGGATTTGCCAGCTGCTGCCACTGTCACGGAGAAGTGTTAGCACTGTTTCCTGGGTCAAGGAATGGCCTATTAAAGTAACTAACGCTCCTCAAATTCAAGCCTGTGTAGGAATCATTCGGTTTAATGTAGCTTGGGTTTCGGTACGTAGATATAGGGCCCCCTGTTCTGTGTTCCTAACATCTTCCCACACAATAGGGATGCTGTTGGCCCCTGAATGGCAAGGCATTAGGGAGAGGTGAGCCTGGATGGTGGTTGTGGCTGACGACCTTAGGAAATGCCATGTGCATGCATAGAACTTTATCTCGGCTAATAAAAGGGTAGTTTGAAGGCGACTCCACTATGAGAGTAATTTTTAGATTTTTCTGCACAGTCTAAATATCGGTAATGCACTTTTTTCTTTGTGATGTTATTTTTAGAAATCTCAAGATTTTTTGGTAAACGCTGATATTCACTAGTATTAATAACTCGCACTCCCCCCCCCCCAAATAAGATTAGTACATGTGTTTTCATGGCGTCATCTTTTACTTGGTGGTTTGTGGGCATTTTCCAATGTCATTAAATGTATTTTTTCTCCAACTTCTATGAAAAATTTCAAGCATAAAGTTGAGAGAATTTTATAGTGAAACAGGAGCAATTCTTAAGGGTGTGGAAAAAAAGGGTGGGTGATTTTGCCCCCCGGGGGGGCAAAAATGTCTCAGAAGATATTTGGTAATGTCTGAATATATTTTGAGTTGTTACAACTGGAGGAGTGCTTCTGGCATCTAATGGGTAGGGCCAAGCCATGCTGCTCAACTTCCACAATGCACAAGACTTCTCTCTACAACAAAGAATTTGCTGGTTTAAACTGTCTGTAGTGCTAAGGTTAAGACACTGACACTATCACGAATCTAGACACTATCATAACATTTTATTCTACCAGCTTTGTCATGTATCTAATCCATTCATCCCATCTATCTGTTTTGATCCATTTCAAAGCAATTTGCAGACATTAGCACACTTCTCCCTAAATACTTCAGCATGTATAACAGACTTAAATATTTGATTTTTTAATTTTGGGGTAAAAGTGAAATGCACACCTTAAATGTATATTGGTTGAGTTTTGACAAACGCATACGACTTTGTAGTTCAAACCCTATTAAGATATAGACCATTATTAGCACCCTAGAAATGCTCCTTCCTAGTCAGTCCCCCTCCAAACCCCCAACAGGGAACCACTGTTCTGAGTTTTTCCTGCCATAATTAGTTTTGCCTGTTCACATGCATGGAATTAGTAGGTATTTTTGTATAAGGCTTCTTTCAGTATATTTTGAAGATTCGTCCATATTCTTGTGTCTATCAATTTTATTGCTTAGAATTCCATTATAAGACTATACCACAGTTTTCCTATTCTTTTGTTCAAAACATGAGCTGTTTCTAGTTTTCTGGCTATTATGAGTAAGGCTACTATGAACACTCTTGTAAAATTTTTCATTTCTAATGACCTTCAATAAGCATTAAGCATTTACTATGTTGCCAACCCTTCTGGTACAAGAGAGAGCCGTGAACAAGACAAAGATGTTTCATCTCTCAAAGCTTACATTTGCACATTTCTGTGTATGTATGGGAATTAGGGCGGGGGGGGGAGGAAAAATATATAAGTAAACATGAGAAAAAAATACTAGGTAGTGACAACTGCTGGGTAGTGGCATAAAATAAAGTGATGTGAGTGATCAGGTGGCTATATAACCTAGATTGCCCAGCCAATTTCTGTGAGAAAGTGACTTTTAAGGTGTGAACAGAATTACAATTACCAACCACAGAATATCATGGGGAGCAGCATTCCTAGGCAGAGAGAGCAGGTGGTACAATGTCCCCAAGGCTGTGTTTTAGAATGGAAAAAATAAAAATGCCTGTGTGCTAAGATACCTTAATGAAGAAAGCTTAAAAAATTGTATCAGCAGTAAAGAGCAGGAAAGCCAGATCCCCCCCCCCCCCCGCGCCAAGAGCCAAATGTAACCATTGTTACTCTGGACAATTCGACAGATTAGGACGCCACTATCTTAACCTACTTTTATCTGCTCACTAATATGGATGAACATTTCTTCATATCTTTTAAGACCAAGACCAAGTGTCCTTTTATCGTGAATTACCTGTTCATATCCCTTGCCTATTTTTCTACTGGCGCTTGCATTTTTTTTTTTTTTTTTTTTCAAGCGATTACTGTGTCTTCTGTAGAAGACTAAATAAACCCCAGGGCAGCGAGCCTGTTTGTTTAATTCACTTCACAAGGGGCTCGGCACGTACATATCTTGAAAACGAACACAGTAAATGTTTGAAAAATTTACCCTCCCTCGGTAAGATTAGTTCAAGACAATATACGTACTTAACTTTAGAAGTCGATCGGACAGAATTAGGGGAACTGCATGAAATGTAAATGTCACTCTCTTGGCCAGCCTTCAGATGTAATATGAATAAGGTAACCCATCAAGGAGATTCCAATACTCTGACCACCATCAGGTACTTATGCTTCCGAAGCATTTAAACAACCCCATAGTTAACCAGAGTGGGGAAAACTGCTAGACTCCTCCGAGCAGCTGATTCTGAACTTCCGGAGGGAGCCGCGCGCAGGCGCCGATAAAATAGCGTGGGCTCCGCCGGCCCCTGGGGATAAATTACTTCCCATAATGCCGCGTACCGGAAGTTGTTGCTTTCTAGCGGTCACTCTGGCTTCGGCTCTGTCGCTGTCTCAGTCACCAGGAGGAAGACGGAGCTGGCTGTCCAGCCCAAAGGCCCATTAGGGGATGCAGCTATGGGCGCTGTCGCCGTGGGTGAGTTCTGTTCCCACTGACTCTCAGTCACCGCTCGCAGGACGTCCTGCGTTCCGAGAGCCCGAATTTCCTGCCTTGACCTCGTTCTCCTCTCGAAGGCTCCTCTTCCTTAAGCACGTTACCTGGCCTCGGCCCGGTACCGCGTTCTCATTGGTTTCATGTCCTGTCAGTTCCAGGAGCTGGCCAATGAGTTGTCGGTGCTGGCGCCCTGTTCGACCCCGGACCCCAAGGTTTCTCCGTGGGTGCGGAGCAGTTGGAAGGGAAGGGGAGGTGTGATGGGCGCCGCGCGGCCCGGAGCACCCTACTGATTGCGGTTGGGTTTGCTGCCGTGTCCATATGGTGGTTAGTAGGAAAAGCAGGATCTGTCATCTCTCCGAGTCAGTGAACCTAGGGTAGGTCAGACCTGTGCCAAACTTGAAAGCCATATTTAAGACTTGCTGACAAAGTTTTCCAAATACTTCCACTTTTTTTTTTTAATGGAATCGAGCAGGTATGGGAAGACTGGGAAGAGAAGGGAACTGGATTAATATGCGAGCTGGCAAGACCAGCTTTGATTTACATTTTGTGTGGAGTCCTGCAAAGAGTAATTTGGCTAAGAAGCTGACTCTCCTCTGAAGACTCGCCTGAAAAACTTAATAGGTTTATTGATGTTTTATAGCTGATGGTACTCACCACTCTCTTCTCTCGACTCATTTGATGCCCTTTAATAGCTGCTAAAGATTTACTGCAGCGTTTTCCACAGCTTTGCAGTGACCCCCTACTGTCCTCTCCCTGTACTAGTTACAATTAGTCTTTGAAGTTTTTCTTTGGAATCTGGGCTACTCCACTCCTCAAACCAGATTTGCTAGTTCTGTTGTCTTCACTACTGGAGACTTCTTCATTCTTTACCTTTTTGATTTCCCAGGAACCTGTTTGCTTCATTCTAATGTGTGCCTACCTTTGCGCCTTGTAATCACCTTTATGTCTCAGGTACTATGCTCTTTTTCTATTTCGATGCAAGAAGTATTTCTGAGGACCTACTATGTACTAACAATCATTAGATGCTTTAGGCAATTCGGAAGTAATGCCTAAAACCTTTCTTTTTCTCCTAGAACTTTAGATTCCAGACAGAAATAACACATGTCCAGAACAAAGATTTAAGAAGCCGCCCGTTATTGTATCAGGTTAGGGGACAAAATGAGTAGTGCACATTATAAAGATTGGGGAAATTCAGTTGAGAGATTTATTTAGAGTAGAATGGTTGTCTACAGTTTCATTGAAAGGGACAGCTTGGAGGATTGATGAGATTTGGATGGATGGAGACAACTCCCAGCTAGAGATCAAAGGCCTAGAGGTGGGGCCGTGGTGTTTTGGAGGGGACATTAGGGGAGACAGTGGCTTGACTGGAATGTAAATAGTGGTGGTCTTGGAATCGAAAGATCTGTGTTTTCAATCTGTCTCTGCCACCCTGTGATCTTTCATCATTTTCTTTCTGATTTCCTTCTTATAACAAAATACCCCACTTAAAGGGTTGTTGTGAAAATCAAATAAGATAACGTTTATGAAGTGGCTTGGAAGATGGAAAGCACCATCTAATTACACTTCAGTGGTTTTTTGGGGGAAGTAATGAGAGTCAGGATTACCAGAGTATTGGGACAGTTTATAAAGGACTGTGAATGTACAGCTCAGGAGCATGGATGTGATGAAAATGGTATTATTAGATCTATCTGGTACTGGGATGCAGCACAGATTAGAGCAGTTGGATTGGAGGCAAGAACTTGAGTACTATTTTCTTCCCCCCTAAAATCTACAATTCTGAATAAGATAAATTATGTAACATGTTATTTTAGGGTGACAAAATGTACACAAAGTATACCCTAGTTTTATATATATCCATATACTTTGTGTTCTTTTGTTAGTTGTTAGTTAATTCATGTATATTGTAGACATGGAAACTTGTTACATTTTAGATGATCCTTGGAAAGTTTAATAATTACTTGATGTGGCACTCATTTTCCACTATTTTGAATTAACTATATTTACACTAACCAATTAAGAGCTAGAAGAGGAATATTTCTAAGATGCTAAGCCAGGACAGGATGACAGCTAAGTATCAGAATTAATTGGGAAGTGTTTTCAAAATATATCTTCCAGGTCCTACTTTTCACTTATGTAATCAGAATTTTAATAAGCACTCCAGGTAAAATAACTATTATAGTCATTTAATTGACTTTGGCACTAAGTTATCCTATGTGAAGAACAAGTTTTTAAAATCATTATTATTTAGGTAGACCTGGATGTACTTTCAGTGCTTTTGATATTTTCTAATTTTGAATTGTTGACTAAGGAGGTGAAGACTTGATGTGCAGCTAGATTTGTCATAGTTGTCCAAACTGATTTTGGCAATAACATAATAATGTAAACAGTCGAGAATGTGATTGTAATAAATTCTCAGCTATTATCCATAGGAAGTCCTGGTGTGGGAAATGCGGAACAGTGGATCACTTTTTAATTTTTTTTTAACATTCATTTATTTTTGAGAGAGAGAGACAGAACATGAGTGGGAGAGAGGCAGAGAAGAGAAGGAGTCACAGAATCCGAGGCAGGCTCCAGGCTCCGAGCTGTCAGCACAAAGCCAGATGCGGGGCTCAAACTCACGAAACATGAGATCGTGACCTGAGCCTAAGTCGGACACTTAACCAACTGAGCCACCCAGGTGTCCTGGCTTCAGCTTTTTATATTTGGCTTTGAAATTTGTAAATTTTCTAACTCCCTTTAGTAGATTATCTTCAGACTTGTTTTAAACTTTTCTTTGAGAAATGATCAGTTTAGACTGCAGACCTAAGAGGCATAGTTTAGAAGGAAGGGGCATTATCCTGTTTCAAAGTGCCTACCACCATTCCACATTTATGTAGTGAGAAATTGAATTCCCAGTAGTGTGAAAGTGCTGAGATTTCTCAAGAAAGACAGGTTCTTTCCTGACCTTTACATTCATTGCCAAACTCTAAACCTTATTAAGAATCAGTTTTCTAAGCTATGAAAAACAGGGGTAATACTATCCTGTCTCCTTCAGAGTTCTTACTGATAATATGTGAATGGTCTTTGTATGTTACAAAGTGTGATGGACATGCAAAGTATGTGGCTTAGTTATATTACTGTCTCCTAGAGAAATATAAAACCTACTTTTTTTTTTTTTGTCAAGCTAACTTTATCTTGTTTTCTAGATTGTTATTTTGTGTCAGTAAGTAATCCATAAAGTGCCAACATGGGAAAGAAACGGACAAAGGGAAAAACTGTTCCAATTGATGATTCTTCTGAATCTTTAGGTATATTTCACCAATTGAATCTTTAAAGTTATGTTTATATCCCTAAATGGACATATATTTTAATATGTACAAATGGGATCAAAGTGTACATTATCATTTTGTAATTGCATTTTAACTTAATGTTTATATCTATATGTTATTTAATAGTTTTGACAGCATTAAAATTTTTTTTAATGGTTATTATTTATTTTTGAGAGAGAGAGAGAGAGAGACAGAACATGAGTGGGGGAGGAATAGAGAGAGAGGGAGACACAGAATCTGAAGCAGTCTTCAGGCTCCGAGCTGTCAGCACAGAGTCCAATGCAGAGCTTGAACTCACGAACCATGAGATCATGACCTGAGCTGAAGTCGGACGCTTAACTGACTGAGCCACCCGGGCACCCCTTGACAACATTTTTAATGGCATGATATTCCATTGATGTAAGGACCATGGGTGCTGATTTCATAATTTAGGTAATTCCCCACTGTTATACATTTAGGTAATCTTTACCTTCTCAGTGATATGAATGGAGTGATCTTAAACATTTTTGTAGCTAAATCTCTGTGCACATCCAGTTCTCTTTTTAGTACATATTCTGGAAGTAGAATTGCTGAAATAAATGGCATATGTGTTTTCAAGGCTCTTTTGGTTCTGTTGCCAAAATGCCCTCCAAAAATATTGTAGTAATTTACAGGCCCGCTAGTAGTGAAATAAAGTGCCAGTTTCCCCAACCTTTATCAATACTGGCTAGTATCATTTGTAAAGACCTGCTGATTTGCTAGTTGAAAAAGAGTATTTTCCTTTTTTAGTTTGTGTTCCTTTGGCCACTTGCTGGGATTTAGTAGTTTTTTAATATGATCTCATTTGTATTTATTTTCTTTTGGTGCAAGTTCATTGTGCGTAAGCTAAATGTGCCACTTGACTGGTTTCTGAACCTCTGGGGTCCTTGAAACAACTGAAGCGCTTTAGAGTGGCTTGCAGAGCCCTTTACTGATCTGGTCCCAACAGGGTTTTTGGTCTCAGGTCCCGCTGCTCATTTTTACACATGTGTGACTGCCAGTCTGAGGAGACAGTATGACATTTTATACCTCCGTACTCTGTTCATGGGATGTGGCCTTTTCAGTTGTTTTTCACTCCACGAGTTCATAGCTTCAAGTGTGAGCTTTGAAGTCAGAAAGATGTGAGCTCAAATTCTGGCATAGCCACTTAGTAGTTATGTGATCTTGGGCACTAAATCTTAGTTTTCTCATCTGTCTTTGGGGATAGTAGTGTCTTTCTTTTAGGGGGGGGATCTGATAATTAAACGAGATAGTGTATGCAAAACATTTAGTACAGTATTAGGCTCATAGTAAGTACTTAATATCAGAACATTTTATTACTGTTATTAAGGCTGTACAGATGTTGCCTCCTGTATGTAAACTTTATTAATTTCTAGCCCTTCTTGTACTGCTCTAGCACATTTTGGAGATTCTTATGTGTTTATTTATTTATCTGCTTCTGCCAGAATATAAGCTGTTCAAAGAGAAGGGCTGCGACTTGGTCTTTTTTAGGTTCCCTGGCTTTTACCACAGTGCTGGCCCTGCGATAGTTTTATTGTTGACTGAATGAAGGACCTTCTCCGTGAACCTTTTAAGATAAAGGGGATAATTAATATGATAAAAGCCTTAATTTTAAAGGAAATAGTTAAATAAATTGAAGTTATTGGAATTGGAATGGTGATGGTTGTACCTAGGAGTTCAAAAAACAAAATTTCAGATTTGTGTAAAATCTCTTTCTCACGTAATCATAATATTCAAACATCAAACAGGAATTTAAGTTTTTAGATTATCTAACAGTTTGTTAATGGAGTAAATTCATTTTTAATGTTCACATGAATGGTAAGTTTTGAGATTAACCGCAGAAAGCCATATTTTACCTCACCTACTCCTTTTTATTTGTTTTAATAGAACCTACGTGCAGACACATTAGAAAAGGATTGGAACAAGGTAATTTGAAAAGGGCCTTGTTGAACGTGGAATGGAATATTTGTCAAGATTGTAAGACGGACAATAAAGTAAAAGATAAATCTGAAGAAGAAACGGAAGAAAACCCTTCAGTTTGGCTATGTCTTAAATGTGGCCATCAGGTATGCTTAGGTTTTGATCAACATGGGGTTTTGTAAAACTCTTTGAATTTATTTTAGAAGGTATTACCTAAAATCGCAGTTTGGGTGAGTAGGCTACCAGCTGGCATAGGCCCTGTTCCCTGGAGAACAAATCTGGGGACTGAGGTTTGTGTATAGGTGGTTTACTGCAGAGTGCTTCCTGGTACCACAACCTGGAGGAGAGTTAGGGAAGCAGGATTAAGCACAGGGAGAAGTTGAACTAAAGTGGAAGTGTGATGGGGCCTCACCTGATCCCATGATGAACTCTGGCCTTCAGAGAGGTTCTGAATTGAGGCAAGGGGCCAGGCTTTTGTACTTGTACGTAGGCTAAGCATTGGATGCGGGATGCCCCTGAGAAGGGGGACTAACCTTAGGCGAGGCAACTCCATTCCACTGAGGATAATTCCTGCGGATGGACAGACTGAGCTGTGAGCTGTGAGCAGGCCACATTTATGGCAGCTGGGGGATGGGTAACTTCATCGTGGGGGATGGAGGGTATCTAGTAACAGAACAATTGACAGATATTGCCATGGTGTTGAAGGTCAGGGACTCTTAGTTTCTGTTAGTGGTGGCAAGTCAGGTTCATATTTTGGGCAACTGGGCTGCTAGGCATTCCTGTCATGAAGCTTTAAGATGAGGCAGAGAACTTTTGTTTTCCCTCTTCAGTTGAAATTTCTATTGAGATAATTATAGATTCACATTCTCCAAGTGGCAACATTTTACAAACGTCATAGATGTCTGTAGAGTTTTGTCACCTAAGTAGATTCATGGATCCACCACCACAGTCGAGATACCAAGTAGTTTGAAATCACACGGATCTCTTTGTTGCCCTTTCTAAATCCTACCCACTTCTCCACTGCCATCTCTCGCCCAGGCCCATGACAGCCACTAATGTGTTCCCTGTTTCTAAAATTTTGTCATTTCAAAAATTTTACGTGAATGGAATCGTACAGTATACAGCAATTTTGGATTGGCTTTTTTCACTCAGCCTAATCACCTGAAGAGCCATCTAAATTGTGTGCATCAGTAGTTCTTTTTTTTATTGCTGAGTAGTGTTTCCTGGTATGGATATACCTGGTATATCACAGTTTGTTTAACTGCTCTCCTGTTGAAGGACATTTGGGCTGATCCCATTCCAAATTTGGTGATTACAAATAAAGCTGCTATGAACATTTGTGTACAAGTTTTTGTGTAAACTTAAGATTTCCTTTTTCTGGAAAAATGTCCTCAAAGTGCAATTACTAGGTCATGTATTAATTGAATTTTTAGTTTTTAAGAAACTGCCAAACTTTTCCAGAGTAATGTTTTTTTATTCCTACCAGCAGTGTATGAGTGATCAACTTTCTCTTCATTCATGCTAGCATTTAGTATTGTCATGACTTTATTTTAACCATTCCAATAGGGGGATAGTGATAGTTCATGGGTCAGACAATTTGACGATATCTGAATGTTAGCAAAGAACATATTTATTGTATTTGAAAGGTTTTCACTGAAGGTCTTAAGTATATAGGTGAGTATATAGGTGAGAATTGTTACTTCAAATTTTCCAGAATACATTTCTTATTATATATTTTATTTTGCTATCTTTTTAATTCCTAAGGGTAAGACAGTATCACTATCAAGTGTTAACTTTTGTCCTACTCTAGTTACCTTTTGCCCTGTTAGCAGGTGATTCTCTCAAGACAGGGCATCTCATTCTTAGGTTTCAGGTGATCTCAAATGGTGTTATATTTTTCAAAATTAATGTCAAATTTCAACTTATTTATTTTAGAATCGAATGTTGAGTGGGATAAATTAAATCATTAGTGTTGATATCGTAGTTAAAAGATTAGAAACCATTGACGAACATTTCAAAGTATATTTTTCGTTATTATAGAAACAGGACCACTTCTGTAGTGCAATCCGGTGGAGTTAGTTGGTGGCCTGGTTCAGATAGATACACAGGGAAGATATATCTTAGCAGTTATTTGACCAGCAAAAAGCAGAAAATCCAGTCAAGTTCTTTTATGAATATGCCTCTACATCTTGTAGGTGGAAATCTCCCATTTACTTGTTCAGTTAATGCTTATTAACCTCCTTCCATTTGCTACATTTTTTGGGTAACAGAAAGATTAATTCTGTTTTCTGGACTTTCAGTATTTATGGTCCAGGGGAGGAAAGGATACAAACATTGGTAACTTTAAAGTAAAGTGGAAGATAAAGAATGTCACAAGGAATTTACACCATGTTTTGTAGGAATTTGTTTACAGTAAGACTACAGTGTTTTCTCATCCGGGAGAATAAGCATAGGCTTCTGAGAGGAGGTGGCTTTTGAGCTAGATCCTGAAGACTGGGTGGGATTTGATACAGGAGAATATGGGAGTTAACCCTGGAAACATAGGTTGAGGTCAGATGGTATCAGGTTTGTTAATTAGGGGTTTCAAAGCAATTTGTAATTTTTGAATAATGGAGTGTATGAACAGAACTTTGTTTTAGATACCAATAAACTGAAAAATATGACTGTGAGGAAAATGCTTAGGAAGCCGTTAAGTTGCTCCCACCATACCTAGTGAAAGACTTCATTAGCATGGTGTAGTTGGGACTAGAAAGGACAAGTTGGAGACGAGTACTTTGAGTGCACAGTTCCTAAATACCTTCTTCCTGAGTTGTCCTCAGTTGCCTGTTCCTATTTAAGTTTTCACAAAATTTGGACTCTGTCTAGAATCTAACATCTCATTTCCAAAATTGTAAGAATGACAGTTTCTCAGGCCACTTCCTTGTGCATTAGGGATTATGAATTCTCTTGGTGAACGACTGTGGCTTTGAGGTTTCCGATTATGATTCTCTAGGGCTGTGGCAGAGATTCTCAGGAGCAGCATGCATTGAAGCACTATATGACACCAAGGTCTGAACCTCATTGTCTGGTTCTTAGTTTGGACAACTGGAGTGTATGGTAAGTTTCAACTCTTGTGCCTGTCGGTTGACTGGAAACTGTTTGAAGTATTGGAGAATGGGAGTGTTTGAAATGTTTCGGGAGCAAGAAGGTTTAAATTTTTGTAGAATTTCTTTAAATACCATCACTTTTAGAAGGCTAGAGAATGTCATATTTGCGTGCCTTTTGCTTAGTATTGTACACGCATAGAAATGGTTGCGTGTAGAAGACATAAATCTTTCATCCTTTTGTTTTTCTTGCTTGTGATACTATAAATGGCATGTGGTCGGTTATTATTTAAAAATTGGGACACTGAAAACAAATTTCAGATGAAGTGAGAATATAGTAAAATTTTGACAGTTAATTTGCGTGAAAATCAATGTGGTGCTGGTGTGTATATTTCCTGTATTGTAACATCATCAAAACAAATTTTCACATCTTTAAAAACCATTTACACAGTGGTGTACATTGAACATCATCTGTCAGTTGTAAGATTTGTTAATTTTGATGATGTAGATCTATATTTTGAAATCTGTGTAGAAAAAAACTTTTGACTTTAATATTGTAAATATCCATTTCAGTAAAATATTTGGAGTTTTTTTCACCCTGTTTGTATATAGCCATGGTTCTGGCTAACCTTACTAATGGTCTCCTATTAGTAAATCTTGGACACTATGGATAGTCTTCTTCAAGAAAACACAGAATTTTTATTTTCACTTTCTTTAATAGGATAAATTGGTTGTTACACACTTTGGGTTCCAGGAATTATAATTTGTCCCCTTTTTTGGTTGACAGTTTGTCACTTTTCTTCTCTGTGATCTTTTGGGACACAGGTGTTACCTATGTGATGATGAGGTCCAGTATTGTAGTTCAAACAGATTGGGTCAGGTGGTTGATTATGTTAGAAAACAAGCTGGAATTACAACTCCAAAATCAGGTAAAATTATTTATTTCTCAATATCCTCTGTAATGTTGACTTGTATATGTTACCTGTCTTATGAATGTATTTAGATCAATTTACCGTACTACTTGGCATTACATAAACCTCAATAACATTAATTGTGGTTTATTTCAAACTATGAAACTATTTTTGGTTAAGAATGTAAAACAGTGGGAACAGAGAGAAGTATGTGTCAGAAGGAAATCTGAGGAACAACCTAGTCAGATGTGATGAAGAGTCTGTGATGAGTCTGGAGTAAGTAACGAACAGTGATGCCCTTTCTGTCGGGGCCTTGAGGTACACCTGCCTCATACTGAATGTATTTTGTTATATTTGGATGATATACAAGTGAAGTGCTTGTAACTCCTTCAAAAGGCCAGGTATTTCACAGATTTTCTTCATACATAGTTAAATTGGTTTGGCATACATCATCTGCTGCTTTAAGCTTGTTTTGATTTTCACAGTCACAGAAGTATCTTTGGCACAGCCAGAATTATTTGTTCCTAACTTCAGTATTTGTTTTTGACCCATGGAATTTCATTTAAAAATTTATTTCATGTCTGCATTCTTCACTTGATTGTTTCATACTCTAATTTCATAAAGTAGGATGTGCTTGCTCATTTGCAAAAAGCTTCTGTGTAGTAAAAAAGGGAAGATTTGTGCCAGACATAAACTGTTTGGTTTTATTTGTCAAACTGTTGCTTACATCACTTCTGAATTTGTTTTATTGATTTTTCTCTTTTGATGGTAATTTACTTATATTTGTTAGAAAACATTTAAAATGAAACAGCTGGTGAATAATGATGTTGGGTAAAATTCACGAATTCTAGTATTCTGTCCCAAGTATTACTTTGCATTTGGTATAGTTGTACTACACATTTTGCCAAATCTTTTTTCTTCCTTTTTTTTTTTAAAGCAGCAAAAGATGGTAACATTGAACTTGAAAATAAAAAATTAGAAAAGGAGAGTAAAAATGAACAAGAGCGAGAAAAAAAGGAAAACTTGGCTAAAGAAAATCCTTCCACGAATTCTGCTTCCCAAATAACTGTGAAAGGACTCAGTAATTTGGGAAATACATGTTTCTTCAATGCAGTTATGCAGGTGCCAATGTTAATTTTTCCCATATTAAGAAATTTTTTCCCCTCATAATATAGGATGTTTTTGCATGCTTGTTACTTAACAGTATTTTTTTTCCCCCCAAGTAATTTATTTCTGGGTTTTTAAGGAATACTTAAGGAAAGGTTGACTTCGCATGACAATAAAACACTGTGCTAAGTATTGGGGTGCGTTAGAGGCCATGCTGGTCTTGAATTCTGCCACTTGGGTGGGGGAAACACAGGATAACCTAGTACAAAAACAAATACTTGGCAGGGTAACTACTTCATGTTGGGTAGTAGGTAGTGCCCTTTTGAAGTGATGAGTAAACTCTAAACTGAAGTACTTATGAGCCAAATAAAGTAGGGAGAATAGCATGCCGTTACTTTTTGTTTCCTGAGATAGATATAATAAAGGCTGCAGTGTTGATAGTGATTTTCTGTTTCGATAGAATGGACACTTAAGAAATACTTGAATTATTTAGGGGCGCCTGGGTGGCTCAGTCACTTGAGCGTCTGACTTCAGCTCAGGTCATGATCTCACAGCTCTTTTGAGTTAGAGCCCCACATCGGGCTCTGTGCTGACGGTTTGGAGACTGGAGCCTGCTTTGGATTCTGTGTCTCCCTCTCTCTCTGCCCCTAGCCCACTTGCATTCTGTCTCTGTCTCTCCGAAAAATAAATAAACATTAAGAAATACTTGAATTATTTAAATATTTGAATGATGAAATAAATATTTGATTTGCCTTTAAATAATTTTCCTTTTCTTTTCCATTCTACGTTTCAGAATTTGTCACAAACACCAGTGCTGAGAGAACTACTAAAAGAAGTAAAAATGTCTGGAACAATTGTAAAAATTGAACCACCTGATTTGGCACTAACTGTACGTACTTTAAGTTTTTTTTTTTTTTTTTAAGTTTATTGATTTATTTTTATTTATTTATTTAAAAAAAAATTTTTTTTTCAACGTTTATTTATTTTTGGGACAGAGAGAGACAGAGCATGAACGGGGGAGGGGCAGAGAGAGGGGGAGACACAGAATCGGAAACAGGCTCCAGGCTCCGAGCCGTCAGCCCAGAGCCCGACGCGGGGCTCGAACTCACGGACCGCGAGATCGTGACCTGGCTGAAGTCGGACGCTTAACCGACTGCGCCACCCAGGCGCCCCTATTGATTTATTTTTGAGAGAGCTTGCAGGCGCGTGCAGGGGAGGAGCAGACAGACAGACAGAGAGAATCCCAAGCAGGCTCAGCCCTGCCAGGGCCGAGCTCAATGTTGGGCTGGATCTCATGAGCTGGGAGATCTTGACCTGAGCTGAAATCAGGAGTCAGACGCTTAACCAACTGAGCCACCCAGGCGCCCCAGGATTTTCTTTTACAGTCAGTAATTTTCCTCTCTGAATATACACATTCTAAATTACTATCATTATTACTTCTTAATGTTTATTTATTTTTGAGAGAGAGCATGAGCAGGGCAGGGGCAGAGTGAGAGGGAGACAGAGAGTCCGAAGCAGGGCCCATGCTGTTGGTGCAAAGCCCAGTGTGGGTGCAAAGCCCAGTTCATGAGCTCGAACTCATGAACTGTGAGATCACGACCTGAGCTGAAGTTGGACACTAAACCGACTGAGCCACCCAGGCATCCTGCCATTCTAAGCTATTTTAAAGAATTGATGCTCATTTTCACCTTTTTTGTTTGTTTTGTTTGCTTTTGTTTTAGGCTACTGAGTTAAACATTTTCAGGCTAATAGATTTAGCTTTTAGATTTATTTGCTATGTGTATGTCATATTCTGCTGTGCTCTAGCGTTCAGTGTCCTTCTTGGGAAAGTTGTTGATATGCATGAAGCCCTAGGCATACATTATTTTTTTTAACAGCTTTTAAGGTGACTTAAATGCTGTGTAGCCAAATGAATTTTACCCTATCAATTTTTTTAAAAGTTTATTTATTTTGAGACAGAGATAACACGAGTGGGGAGGGACAGAGAGAGAGAGAGGGAGAGAGAGAGAATCCCAAGTGGGCTCCACACTGTCAGCATGGAGCCCGATGCTGGGCTCAAACTCATGAACCGTGAGATCATGACCTGAGCCGAAACTAAGAGTCTGACATTTAACCGACTGAGGTGCCTAGGTGTCTCCTACCCTTTTTTAATTATTCATATTTTGCTCTGGCTCTTTCAGTTCTTAGGTGGTAAGCTCCTGATACTCTAAAACTAAAACAGTAGAACTGAATTCTTCATCAATAGTCAGTGACCAGGAACTTTCTCTGTTGTTCCTGATGTACATTTTGAATTTTTAAATGGGACAGTTTTGTCAGGAACACTGGCAATGCAGGCAATACTAGCTACATTTTCGTAAAATAAATGTTTCCAAAATTTGACTGAAGAAAGCAATTTTTATTCCCATATTCAGGAACCCTTAGAAATAAACCTTGAGCCTCCAGGCCCTCTTACTTTAGCCATGAGCCAGTTTCTTAATGAGATGCAAGAGACCAAAAAAGGAATCGTGACACCTAAAGAACTCTTTTCTCAGGTCTGTAAAAAGTGAGTATCTGCCTTGATTCTGTTTTCAGTGCCTCAGTAAGATGCTGAGAATTAATATGAAAAACTCAGTAGCGTTAGAAGTCAACCCAGTGAATGTATTATAGTGTGGTTTATTTCTTTTGCATTAAAAAATATGAACTTTATGTGAGAATTAAATCTGCCAAGGATGTTGGTGAACTAAAGGGAAATTTTGAGAAACTGCAACACTCTGAGATTTTGGATATGATCTTAAGATTTTTGTAAAAATAGTTTCATATTTTAAAAGACTCATCATTGCTTTTTTTTCTTTCTTTTTTCTGTTTTGTTTTCTTTCTTTGTCTTTTATTTTCTGTAGAGCAGTACGGTTTAAAGGCTATCAGCAGCAAGACAGCCAGGAGCTGCTTCGCTATTTATTGGATGGAATGAGAGCAGAAGAACAACAAGTTAGCATATTTCGGCCCATATATTTTATGATCCCATCTTCATTAACTTGTCTGTCATTTGAGGTCTTAAGGATTGTTAAAGCAATGAAAACTAGTTACTGAGGCCATCGTATTTAAAATTTTTTTTCTATACCAGTGTTTTCAACCAGTATGTTTTATCACTAGAATGAATGAAGAGAATTAGAAACGATTCTCCTTTTCATGATGCTCTGTTTTCCTTGCTGGTTAGAGCATTATTGTTCTTTGGGAGTTCTATCGTACTAGCCTACACCAGAGAGCTCCAAAGTGTTGGAAAATGTTTCTCCCAAAACAGTTCCCAGTTGCAGCGCATTCCTACTCTTATTCTGAGTGTGATTTAACACAGCTTTTTGAATCTAGGAAGTGCGTTCACTTTTAAGAGTCAGGGAGCATAGTTACATTTAGAAACTTCTGCAAATTGCCAGGATATAAAATAAAGTATTTGGGGATGTTGAGTATAATTAATAAATGTAATAATAAGACTAGTGATAACAAGTGATAACTAATGATAATATTTAGTTTGCTCTTATTTTATGTCGAGCACTGTTCTCAGAATCTTATGTGCATTTCCTTGGTCCTCACAACCTTTCTGTGAGGTAGATGCTGTTAATCATTTTCTCACTCCATAGATTGTGAAACTGGGATGTGGAAAAAGTGCATTACCTGGTTGAGGGTCACCCAGTAATGATGGCACTTGGCTTTGAGGACCAGAGTCCCCTGTAGCTCTCACTTAAACAGTCTGCTTCTAGGACATGATATTTCAGTGGTCTTTCCAAAGGAGGTGGGCATGTGCTGAAAAGCTTTGGTTTGAATAGATTAAAATCTTGAAGTAAGACAGTGCCTTTGTTCAGGGGTTAGTGCTTGTTTTATAATTCTTTTTAGCTCCTTGAATTAATTTTGAAAATGTGATTTTAGAAATACTATTTTTTATTCAGTAAGTTTGGGGAGCTAATTCTTGATCACTTTCTTGACTTGATTACATATTTTCTAAGGAAAACAAACTATAAACCTTTAAAAATTTAATAGTATATATATATCCATTTTATTACTTTTAGAGAGTGAGTAAAGGAATTCTTAAAGCATTTGGTAATTCTACTGAAAAATTGGATGAAGAACTAAAAAATAAAGTTAAAGGTAATGTCTGACTTTTTGAACTAAAACACTATAGTTGAATTCTTCTGTATCTTAGGACAAGATATTGGCACGTGTATTTCAAATTCACAGTTATTAACATACATTTTTCTTTATCACCATTGATTTAAAAAAATTACTCAGAATTCCAAGGGTGAATATTTTGGAAAAATTTAACTTTTGGTGTATTTTTATGCACTATTGTAGTGAAACTTTTAAAGGTAGAGCTAAGATGACATCACAGTTTTATATTTCAAAAGCTGACACAGTTGACCGTCGAACAATGCAGGGGTTAAGGATACCAGTCCTTTCCCTGGCCATTCCCACACAGTCAAAAATCTACTTATATAACTTTGACTCTAAAAACTTAATTACCAATAGCTTACTGTTGACTGGAAGCCTTACTGATAAACAGTAAAGTAACACATATTTTATGGGTAATATATATTATGTACTGTGTTCTTGTTCTTATAATAAAGGAAAGAATGTTATTAAAATCATAAGGAAGTTAAAATACATTTTCAGTACTTACTATATTTATTGAAAAGAATCGCACGTGGACCCGCACAGTTCAAACCCGTGTTGTTCGAAGGTCAACTGTATTTCTAATGAGCAGTGATATGTGAATTGGACTTGTCTGTGAGTTGTCAGTAGCTGGCTTATTAATTGTGGAACCAACTTCATTATTACTGTTTTGTGTGGCATTTAAAGGTTTAGGACAGATCAGTCCAATAGAACTTTTGTGATAATGGAACTCTTCCGTATTTATGCTGTCTGATATAGTAGCCACTGGCCACATGTAGCCATTTAACCCTTGAAATGTGACTGGGGTGACTGAGGAGCTAAATTTTTATTTTTATTTAATATTAATTTAAATTTAATATTCACAAGGTCTAGTGGCTACCATATTGTAAAGCACAGTTGTTTGTTTTTTTAAGTAGACTCCATGCCCAATGTGGGCCTTGAACTCTCACGACCCTGAGATCAAGAGTTGGATGCTCAACCAACTAATCCAGCCAGGCACACTTGTAAATCACAGTTTAGAATCAACACATAGCACCTGTTTGCCTCCTTGGTGTCCTTTAGGGCCAGGCCAGTGACAGAGAGAATCCTGCCCTGTTGGCACTATCTGTCATCAAGTGTGTTTCTGTACAAATGGGTACACCTGTCATTTGAATAAGGGTGATACATTTCTTGTGTTTAGAAAATTGGGTGACCAGGTAGTAAAATTGTCACCTTACACTAACTTACCAAGAAAACTTACCGAGATTATTTCTGGGAACATAGAAAAATCAAAAGAAAGATTTTGTCTGAAACATTTTCCTGATGGTTTTCTTGTGTTTTGTTTTGGTTTTAAATGGAGTTCAGTCTTAGAGTTCGTAAAACAAGTTACATGCATTTTCTCCTGTGTTTGCTGCTGAATATTAGAATGGTAGAGCTAGAAGTGGTCTTGAATATCGTGTAGCTTAGCCCCATCTGTTCATTTTACTAGTGGGGATATTGATAGATAGAAAGTCTCACTGACTTGCATGGTTTATTTTGCACTGACTAGATCTAGGGTGAGAACTTTCTCTTTTTACAAGCCACGATTGTGTTACATTGTGTTTATGCTCAAAATTGGAATATATCCTGCTGATGATAGCATAAAAATAAAAATTATAGTAATTATGAACAGAAAAAGCCTATGGGATCAGAATTAAAAATAAAACTTTAAAGTTAGGTAAGTAAATAGTTTTAACTTACTCAGTTAATTATATAAGGGTAATTGATAAACATTTTTCCCTTTATAGATTATGAAAAGAAAAAATCCGTACCAAGTTTTGTGGACCGCATCTTTGGTGGTGAACTAACTAGTACAATCATGTGTGATGACTGCAGAACTGTAAGTTGCTGTGGTGTGGACTGGATCCACGCATTAAGATTAATGCAGTGTAGTTTGTGAGTTGTGTCCTTCAAAAACAGAAGTATCTAGTTTTATAAGCTGTTCTTGGTTCAACTGCCCAAATCTGCATAGCTCTGTCCTGGGACTATGAACCCGCCCCTTAGATCTGAAAGGAGTTAGTTTAACATTTTAATTTATTTCCCCTAACCCTAAGTTTTCAATGCTGTATAATTTTTCATTTTCTTAAGTCTTTATTTTAAAATGTCCCCCTCCCCCCATGATCTTACTATATAATGTCTAAAGTGAATCTTTTTCTTCTTTTTACCTTTTTTTTTTTTTGGGTTGGTTAAGGTCTCTTTGGTTCATGAATCTTTCCTTGATTTGTCTCTACCAGTTTTAGATGATCAGGTAAGACTTACTCAACTTATTTTATTTAAGTAGATTTTTTCCCCCTGTGTTAGATTTTATAACGGAAGCCTCGTCAATTTTTTTCCAAGTTTGTACATTAGCCCTTGTAGGAATTTTTAAACATATATTTAAGATAGAAGAATTTTAAAGATTTGAATAAAAATTAGGGTAAATATCTTTTTTTTAAAGAGGATAGTTGGTGTGTCTAGAATTCTTTATAGATAATTAACTTGATTGGTATACATATAGGGAAGTCTTTTCTTCATATTAAAAGTTGCTATTTCTTTTCATTATTTAAGAATAAACACAAATCCTTTAAAGTCTTCAGTTCATACACGTTAATAAGAGTATCTCAATTTTCAGCCATATCAATTTGGTTCCTATCAAGTAGTAGTTGGAGAAAAGAAAACACGTTATGAATATTGGATAAATCATTATTCAAATTAATATGAATGAGGGGTCCCTTTAATCATTGTTACTTAGTGATTAAAGTCTTACCAAACTTACTTTATTTTCTCTTTTTCTAAAACTCTTTAACATGGAAAGGAGAAAGATAAAAAGGGCTGCCTTAGTGGGACAAGTACATCACTGATAAACACGAAGTGCATTTAGAAACAGACACAGTTACAGTGTGATAGAGCATGTACCTAATAACATTCATTATATTCCTTTCTAGTTAACTTGCATGTAAAGTTGTCTTTTTTACTGTTTTGTTTGTTTGCTTGTTTTCTCAGTATGTGAGGATTGCTTTCTAGTAATTGAGATGAATGAATTTTGTCTTGGATATATTTTCAAACATTGTGGAAAGTAAACGTAGTGTAAAATAGTAGAAAAATATTTAGGTAACATGAAATCTTTTCACCAAATAGTAGTTGTAAAATTTTATTTTTGGCCCATATTTTAAGAGTGGTAAGAAAAGTATAAATGATAAAAATTTGAAAAAGACGATGGAGGATGAAGATAAAGACAGCGAGGAAGAGAAAGATAATGACAGTTACATGAAAGAGAGGAATGACATTCCCTCAGGAACAAGTAAGCACTTACAGAAAAAAGCAAAGAAGCAAGCCAAAAAGCAAGCCAAGGTGGGTAACTGGGAGGAAAACTATGCTTTTCTAATTTTATATCTGCAACTGTTGGGTTTGAAGTCTGAGTGACTGAAAGAAAAGGTTGTGCTTTTTTGTTTTTTATCTTGCATTACTTGTGAGAACTTTTAAGAATTTTAGTTCATCTTAAACAATTTTTTGAGTTCTTAAAATTTAAAAATTTAAAAATCTCTAAAGATGTACAGTGAGAGGCCCCCACCAAGCCTGTCCTCTTACGACGTAGATGACCACTTACTTAGTTTCATACGTGTCCTTCCAAAGTTTTTTGGGAAATAGGATTAAATACAAATACGTAGTCTTGGTTTTTCCTGCTTTAAAAAATTATACACACTGTTCTGGACCTTGTGTTTTGTTTGTTTCTACTTAATTAGACTCTTGGAGATTTTTCTGCATCAGGATACACAGAGTCAGTTGTTTTAAACAGCTGTATGCTATTCTGTTTTATAGATGTAACCATAGTTCATTTAACTGCTCCTCTGTTGATTTAGGTTTGTACTCTTTTGCTAGGTAATAACCTGTGCTCTGCAGGGAATAATCCTATACACCTGTCATCTGTAGGGCACATTTTGAGAAGAGGGATTGCATTTGTAATCTAACTGCCCTCCATAAAGGTTGTACCAATTTATACTCCCACCAGCAGAATACGAGACTTGCTGTTTCTCTTCATCCTCGACAGCAGTTATGTTCTATGACTTCTCCCAGTCTGATGGAAAATACTATCTCAGTGCAGTTTTATTTTCCATTTCGTTTAACATAAGTGAAGTATGTTTTTATGTTTGAGTCGTTTGTGTTCCCTTTCCTTTGCACTATTGTCTTCTGTCCGTTCTCCATTTTTCTTTCATGGTTTAACTGTTTTTAGCCAAAACACATTGGAAAATGTGTCCTGAGTATTGTCCTTCAGCCGTCTGGAATTACAGATTAGCCTCACAGGGACTGTCATTTTACCTAGAGTCTTCAGGCATTCCAGTGACAAGAGTGTGCTGAAATGCCTTCCCCTTCTATGAGGAAATGGGCTGCAAATGGGAAATAAAATGCTTCTAGGAAGGAAGTCCTTTGTCGTCCTCTGTACATGAGGCTTCCTTGCTTCCTCCCTGATTTTGGGCTATTTGTTTCCTGGGATGTTCTCCTCCATCCTGCCCAAAGCAGTCCTGTACTTGTGCATCCTTGAGTTTTCAGTTTGCTTTTTCTTCCCTCAGTGAACCTTTGACCCAATAATCATAACTCGCACGGGTATACCCATTCCTGTTGTGTGTATAGTCAGACTCCCTGCTTGGTTCCATACTAGTCTGCTTGGGTGTAACAGTTACCGTCTCATCCACTGCTCTGTCTAGATCACTTCTCTTAGAGCACAGACCATGCCTTGCACAGTTTTATTTGCCCTGTGTAATAGTATTTTGATGATTGGTGATGGTTTATTCCTGCTTTAAATTAAAGAACTTTCTTCATAATTTCTTTGATCCCTGATAGTAAAGGAACTTTTAGGATCAGAATTCTGGGAATGAACTCTTCCTTATAAACTTATTTTGGGTTGATAAGCAAGAAAACCTGATGTGGTACATGCATACTCTTTCTCTTCCTATTTTTAAAAAACATTTTATACTTTTTGCACAGAACCAACGAAGGCAACAAAAAATTCAAGGAAAAGTTCTTCATTTAAATGATATCTGTACCATCGACCATCCTGAAGATAATGAATGTGAGGTTGAAATGTCACTTCAGGGAGAAGTGGATGTTAAATCCAACCATATCTCAGAAGAGGAAATCACACATAAAGAATATTGCGTTAATCAGAAAGATTTGAATGGCCAAGAAAAAATGATAGAAAATAAAACTGACAATCAAAAATCCACAGAGGAAGTAGATATGAGAAATGTCAACATGGATAATGATTTGGAGGGTCTGGCCTCTTCTCCCACTGAATGTCCTAGGAGTTTAAATGGTGCCTATCTGACAGAAGGGAGCAGTGGAGAAGTGGACATTTCCAGTGGTTTCAAAAACCTTAACTTGAATGCTGCTCTTCAACCTGATGAAATAAATATAGAGATTCTGAATGAGAGTCATTCTCCTGGGACCAAGGTATATGAAGTTGTAAACGAAGATCCAGAAACTGCTTTCTGTACTCTTGCAAACAGGGAAGCTTTCCATACTGATGAATGTTCAATCCAACATTGTTTATATCAGTTCACCCGAAATGAGAAACTTCGAGATGCAAATAAACTGCTTTGTGAAGTATGCACCCGGAGACAGTATAGTGGACCAAAGGCAAACGTAAAAGGTATTTGGAGTCTCTCACTGAAAGTGAAATTCATGTTCAGGGGCCCGTTTTGCACTGCATAGGTAGACTACTGCTATTGTAGTTGTATCAGGATTTGGATGGCATCTGGAAGTTCCTTCTCCTGTGTAAATATTTTGGTAGAAGGATAGACAAACAGATTGAAGTGGCTGATGCTGTGTGGCAGCCTGACAGCAGATAGAGCGGGACAGTTCGCTCTCCAACACCTCTTTCTGTGGCCAAATTATCCCCCTGGGATTTATCACAACAGGGTCCTTACCCTTACAGATAGTGGCTACTTCTTTGCATCCTCAGTTTTCTGTCAGCATTTGTGATGGCCCTCATCTCCTTTGTATCCAGGAAGCTTCACTTCATCAGTGTACTCATGAGATATGCCCAGTGCCAGGTACTAGGAGGACAGCGCTTTCTCTAACCTCCCTCAAATATACAACAGAAAAATAATGACAATTCCCTTTCTCCCCAACACCCCCCTCCCCTTTTTTTGAGCTTGAGTAAGTGGAGTAAGGCGGGATTGTGGATTCCTAAGGATTCGTCCTAGAGTTGTTGAAACGTTTTAAAGGTCTAGTTTTTTATTTATTTGCATGTCAATACAAATAGTAAATTGTGTTGATTTTATAGCAGTTCTGTTCGCCTTAGAGCAGACATCGGCAAACTGTTGTCCACAGGCCAAGTTTGGTCTGCCATCTGTTTTTGTATGGGGTCTAGACATGTTTTTATTGATGAACATTTGAAAGTGATCTGATGGCAGTACTAAGTATGAGCCCCAATGAAATGGTATCTGTCCAAAAATGATTTCATTTTTTCCCTCAGTAGACTGTAGTTGTACTCATTTGTTACTATATTTAGAATTACATCAGTGAAAAGTTGTGGGAATTTGTGGAAATTTTTACTGATACCTACAACATATACTTAATTTTGCCTCTTGGTCCACAAAGCCCAAAATATTTATTATCTGGCCCTTTCCAGAAAGTTTAAAGATGATTGCTTGAGATGTTTGAAATGACTGTATAGTAAACGTGAATGCTTTAGAAATCTAAAACCATTTCCACACTGCCAAAATTTCTTTTTTTCTTTAGGTGAAAGGAAACATGTTTATACCAATGCCAAAAAGCAGATGCTAATCTCTCTTGCTCCTCCTGTTCTCACTCTCCATTTAAAGAGATTTCAGCAGGTACCCTTTTGTTACCTCAAATTTGTTTTAAATATTTAATGCTTTGTTACTGTCTCACTATATTCCTGTGTTTCTTTGGTTTTCTGTTATTTCTTAATTCTAACTTTCAAAAAAGTAGGGAAGTAAGAAATATATACGGGTGTGACAAAAGCTTAGATGAAGATACCGTCAAGGTGGAGGAGAAACTTAGGCACAATCCTTCCTCAGTTTTACTAGAATTCATGTTGCTCTTTTTAGTAAAATTAGTATCTCACTCTATCCTTAATTTCAGGTTAAAAAAAAAAGCCCAGTGTACTAGCTGTATTTCACAGTTAAGAAATTAGTGCTATTTTTCTGTTGTGTGTGTGGTACGTTCTTTGTACTGACCCTTGATAAAAAGACATCGATACCTTGGATTTTCATCATTTTGGTGACCCTGTTTTTTTCTGGAAGACTTTTACTGTAAGCAGTACAAGTTTTAAACTCAGTTCCAAATTTCCAAAGAACCTTAAGAATGTATTCCCTCCTGTGGTTGTTATATGGGTTTGATTAATTGGGTCGGTGTCTCTGAAATAAGCACTAAGCTTGGGTAGGGAGGGAGGCTCGAGAAGATGTGTTGTACAGGAAAGTATTTTCCAGTTGTTGAGTTTTAAGCACTTAAAACCTCTGGTCTAATGTGGCTTTTCTGGATGGCTAAAGCAGAAACACTGAGAATTTTCTCATGGGAGTAGATTTTTTTTTTCTTAAGTTTATTTATTTACTTAGCATGTATGCATGCTTGGGAGGAGCAGAGAGAGAGGGAATCCCAAGCAAGTTCTGCACTGACAGTGCAGAGCCTGAGGCGGGGCTCGAACCCACAAACCACGAGATCATGACCTGAATTGAAATCAAGAGTTGGATGCTTAACTGACTGAGCCCATGTGCCCTGGGAGCAGCTTTCTTAATCTGTTGGGGTGTGGGGTGTGTGTTTGGTGTGCACTTCGCAAAAATCATTTAGTGGTCAGAAAGAAAAGAGTCTCCTGAGAAGACTGAGCTAGGGTTTGATGTTGGTGTTCTTTTGTGCATTGGGGTGGGAGTACAGTTTACTTAATGTGTACAGCTTTTCTAGGAAAATAACTCAATCTGTTGTCTCTCTTTTTTAGGCTGGTTTTAACCTACGCAAAGTTAACAAACACATAAAATTTCCAGAAATCTTAGATTTGGCTCCTTTTTGTACCCTTAAATGTAAGGTAGGTGAAAGTGGTCTTTTTGGGAAAATCCTTTAAAGGGAAATCATAGCTTATTTTCCAGATACTCCCAACAGTAACTCACTGAAGTATGAGGTTGATAAGAATGAATAGACTGGGTCTTTGATCTTTGTACCATTACAATTTCAAGATCTGTGATGAATCATTTGGAACATTATTAGGTTGTTAATTTCAGTTAATTTTTTGAATCTCTATTAATTGTGGCAGACATTGTCTTGGGAGCTGACGGCACAAAACTAAAGATCAGCAGATACATTAAGTAATTTCAGTTAAAAGAAATTTTTTTTTAATGTTTATTTGTTTTTGATAGCGAGCAGGGGAGAGGGAGAGAGAGGGAGACATAGGATCCAAAGCAGGCTACAGTCTCTGAGCTGTCAGCACAGAGCCCAATGTGGGGCTCGAACCACAAACTGCAAGATCATGACCTAAGCCGAAGTCAGAGGCTTAACTGACTGAGCCACCCAGGCGCCCCAAGTAATTTCAGTTTAATATGGTTGAGTGTTATAGACACAGAGCGGGGGTAGTATGCACTTAACCCAGTATGTTGGTGGTTCAGGAAACGCTCTGTGAAGTAGACCACACCTTAACCACTCTTTACAGGAGTAAGAGTTAATGTGATGGGTCAAGAGGAAATTCAGTTTTCCAGGCAGAGGGACCAGCCAGACCAAAGACAAGTAAAATGACATGGTGGGGGGTAGGGACTAGCAGTAGAAGCAGTTGTAGAGCTTCTGGTACAAAGCTAGAGAATGTTGGGAGGTGAAGCCAGAGCAGTGAGATGCAGTGAGGTTTGGAAGATTATCATGGTGAGCAACTTGGGCTTTATTAGGTATGCAGTGGGGTGCCACTGAAGAGTTTAAAGCAGTGGGGTGACAGCCAGATCTGTGTTATTATACGAATTACTTGCTGAAGCATGGAAGTTGGATTTTAGGCAGGAGCTCTCTAGTTTGGAGGCTGTTGAATTAATTTAGTCAATAGATGGTGAGAGCTTAATTTAGGATAGGAGAGGGCAAGCTTGAAAGAATATTTCATGGGGTAAAATTATCCAGACTCATGACTTATACCGGCTCTGGAAGCTGAGGAAGAGGCCTTGAAATGGATGGTAAGGGTACACAAAAAAGAGTTGAGCATGATTCCTGAGGCCTGGCTTGAGTGACGAGGCATTTGGTAGATGGGAGTACCATTCATTGAGGTAGGAAATACAGGAAGAACAGGTTGGGAGGTAGAGAAAGGATAATGAATTTTCGTTTTACATACACTGAGTTTCAGGTATTTTTGAAATACTCAGGGGGACACATTTAGATGTGCATGTCTGAGGCTCAGGGCAGAGAGGTCAGGTCTGGAGATAAAGATTTGGAAATCAGTACATAGGTGATGGTTAAAACTATGAGGCTAGGATCCCCTGTGTAGAGCATGGAGAAAGAGAAGAGATGGTTAATGACAACTCTGGTGAGCATAGGGGTGTAAGAGGCATATGTAGAAGAGGAGGACACCACCAACGATCTTGACAGATCTCCGTGTTGAAGAATTTGGACAATTGGAGAAGCTGTAGGATTATATTCGGATTTCAAATGCTTCAGTATAAACAATAATTTGTGTGCAGAATTTGAAATGATAGAAATTCTCCTATCCTCACTCCCAACTTAAAATTTTAAAATTCTCCAAGAAAGGTATTTCAGAGCTGGTGGGCAGAGTGAATTGTAATTGTTTTTATATTATCACCATGGTGCAGGGCCACTTTTGCCAGTAAGCAGAAATACCTTTGGTTGGATTAGTTTGAACACAAGGGTATTAGGAATCCATTGTTTGCCTACATTGCCCTGCGCTCAAGCTTAAGGGAGAAGACTGGGTGATCTCAAGTGTCAGCATATCAGAGAAAAAGACCTAGAAAGTATTTGTGGATTAGAAGGTATAGAGGTCATGGTAAAAATTTTAAGAAGTATTGGTGACTTCAGTGGATTGAGCAATGAATGACAATATTGGAAATAAAGCATATAGGTATGTTTGAGGCATTGTTGAAAAGGAAAAGTGGTAGATCAATTTTTTTTTTTTTTTTTTTTTTTTAAGTCTGGGAAACTTAGGTGGGTTTGCAGAGCAAGAGGAAAATCTAGAAGTTAAAGATACAGAAAAGAGAGGTTTGACTGAGCAAGACCCTGGAGGAAGCCAGAAGGGCGGGGATGAGGACACTAAGTTGGACTGTTGTTTCTAAACAAAAGGGACAGGATACTTCATCTTCCTGAGAATGGGCAGCTTACAGTTGGGTAGGTTTTATCTGTTTTCCTGAAGTGGGAGGTGAGGCCAGCTACAGAGAATAATAAAGGTGATAAGGAGAGGCTATAGGAGTGGTTAAAGACTGGGCCCGTTGCTGTGAAGGATAGCTGTGGAACTAAGGAGCTAACTAGGGAACAGGTTCCAAGATTAGACAGTCAGGGACCCTGATGAGTCCTCAGTGAGTTTACCAATCTGCAGGGATATGTAATTTTGCTTTCTGGCAATAGCAGCTGTTTGGGTGTGTGGTTGGGAAGGCTCATCATAGGATTCAGAAAGGAGTTTTGTTTTAATTAAAAAAAATTTTTTTTAATGTTTATTTATTATTGAGAGACAGAGACAGAGCAGAAACACAGGAGGGGCAGAGAGAGAGGGAGACACAGAATCGGAAGCAGGCTCCAGGCTCTGAGCTGTCAGCACAGAGCCTGATGTGGGGCTCGAACTTACGGACCGTGAGATCACGACCTGAGCCAAAATAGACGCTGGACCAACTGAGCCACCCAGCCGCCCCTGGAGTTTTATGATCAGTGTGCTGGCAAGGCTGGTGGTGGGTGTTAAGAGAGATTATTTGTAAGACTGATACACATGGTTCAAGTTCTCCAGCTTTAATATGCATGTCCTTTGGGCATCAGTAGGTCTTGGGTGGGGGTCTAAGATTCTGCATTTCTAATAAGCCCTCAGGTAAATGCTGACACTGCTGTTCTGTTGCCATCTTGAGCAGTGAAGACACAGACCTGATAGGGGAATGAGGCCAAGAGAGGCTTCCTCGGCCAGGAGAAAGTGAGGACTCCAGGATCTAGTTAGGTTAGAGAGAGGGGAGATCGGTGAGAGGAGAACTGGAAGAGCGGAAGCCTTGTGAACGGAGACTAGAAAAGTGGGAAGACTTGAAGTTGAACAGTTCTGGGTGAGGATCGATTGCAGAATATAGGCCTGGCACTTAAAGTGGGATGGCAGGAGGAATCCTGAGAAGCTCACTGAAGGACAACTGAAGTCCCTAAGGAAGCAGATAGGACTTGGAGTGAAGGATGAAGTTCTTCTGTGAAGAGGGGGCCACAGATTAAAGAGACGTCAGTATTATTGACGGATAATGATGCCCATTCAGGGGGACTTTTTACAAGAGAACCTAAGTGGAATAGTTGTCTGAAAGCAGCCCCAGCTCAGAGAATGCCTGTCCTTGTCACCAGTCAACCCTGTAGCATATGGGGTCTTGAAAGAATAAGCAGCCTCCACCATCTAGCTAGCGCAAGTGAACCCTTGAGAAGCCAAATCTCTGAGGAACGTTTGTAAACATAAGGGGTGGTTGGGGCACGACTTAAACGCGATCCTCTTGCTGTTAAAGGCTTACAGTCTCGGCAGGAACTGGAACGATAGAGCTGTTAAGGTATCTCACAATTATCAGAGCCCAGGACTCCTATGGAAACTGGCAAGTTCGGTTACTGAAGTATCTGGGCCGGGAAGCGGCAATTGAGGCAAGTGGCCTCTGGTTTGTGATTCTGGCAGACCGCAACTGTGACTTTCTAATAAAAACCTAAGTGTGACACTACTCTGTAGGGGGAAATAGTAGTCAGGGTCAGACTCATGAATGATTTTACATTCTCAAAGGTCAGAAAGCCTTCGCTTAAATTATCTTGCCCATGGCATCTATAAACGGGACTAGAACTAACTTCTGAATTCTCTTCATTTTGAAAGAATGTCGCGGAAGAAAACACAAGGGTACTTTATTCCTTATACGGAGTCGTTGAACACAGTGGCACCATGAGGTCAGGGCATTATACTGCCTATGCAAAGGCAAGAGCTGCCAACAGTCACCTCTCTAATCTTGTTCTCCACGGTGATATTCCACAAGGTAGGAGGGTGTGGGAAATTCTGGCATTCAGAGGATTATGGCCAAACCAAAAAATAACGGAACTTCCCATTTATGTTTTCTCCTGACAGATTTTGAAATGCAGTCAACCAAAGGGCAGTGGTTTCACATCAGTGACACGCACGTGCAAGCTGTGCCGACAACTAAAGTCCTGAACTCACAGGCGTACCTCCTATTTTATGAGAGAGTACTATAATCGTTTCAAAAAGCGCTTTCTCCACAAACAAGTTTATAGCTTTTAAAGTGGCTCTAATTAATAATAAGCGAAGACTGACTGTAAAATCATGTTTAATAAAGAAGCGAAGACTCTAAGATCATGTTCACTTAAATACATGCCAGAAGAAATGTTTATTAAAATGTTGAAGGGAAAATACCTAAAAATTTACAATGGTTTTGTATTGTCATAGTGGTTTTTATTCTTGCTTCCAGTTTCTGGAAAGGATTTTGAACCCCAGTCCTCTGTGCTTAAGTATGTCTGGTTGATGGGTTGTAACACATCAATAAATCGACTTACCCCCAAACCTTGTTTTGTTACTTGGAAGATGTAAAGTTGTGTTCTTACTCTACCACGTAACATTTTAAAATATGTTTGGCTAATGAAACTTCAAATGTATTTTTATTTTTTTTTTTAATTTTTTGTTTTTCAACGTTTTTTATTTTTGGGACAGAGAGAGACAGAGCATGAACGGGGGAGGGGCAGAGAGAAAGGGAGACACAGAATCGGAAACAGGCTCCAGGCTCCGAGCCATCAGCCCAGAGCCCGACGTGGGGCTCGAACTCACGGACCGCGAGATCGTGACCTGGCTGAAGTCAGACGCTTAACCAACTGCGCCACCCAGGCGCCCCTCAAATGTATTTTTAAAAAGTGTTGACTTTATAAGCAGACATTAGATAATGGCAGTAGTACACACTTGGAAGAAGTCTCTTACCCACAATTCTGCTGACACCATACAGTGTACATAAGCTGGGGTGTAGGCCTGACTGCTCTTTTTCTGTGAACAGACCCAAAGCAGACACTCCTGCGACTCTTAACTAATTCAGTACCAGGTCCCCTTAATGCCAGCATGCCAGAGAAAGTCTGCGAACTGTCCTTTTACCCAAGCGAGCCAGCATCTGGAAGTTGGATGCAATCCTAAACCTCAAGGCTCAGCCTCCGCTCTCTAAACTTCCATTACTTTCAACACTTACTACCTAAGACCCAGTGAGTCTTACTGCTTCCAAAATTTCCTTTCAAATACCAAAAACATCTTTTTAAAAAATGTAACTTTCTATTTTTTAACGTTTATTCATTTTGAGAGTGTGCATGCGGGGGAGGGGGAGACACTCCCAAGCAGGGCCTGTGCTGTCAGCCCCAAGCCCAACCCGGGGCTCCATCTCACAAACAGACCAGGACTTGAGCAGAAATCCAGAGTCCGATGCTTAACCGACTGAACCACCCAGGCGCCTTCAAAATGTTATTCAAAGACCAAAGATTATTACGTGACCAAGACATAGGAGTTAGCACATGTCCCATAAAATCAGTTGACCTTTCATGTTGTTTTTTCAAAACTCCTTACTGATCTTAAGAAAAAAGAAGATCTGCTTTACAAAAACCGAATTTCTATTAGCAGATATGTTTTCAGTGGTATTACAACTGTCTTTATACTACACTACTAGACTATTTTAACTAAGCCATTCAACAAATGGGTATTAAAAACATGTCCTCTCAAGTCTTAGAATTCCCAGAGCAGAGATGTGAAAAAAACCCTGAAATCCAGTCTGGGGGTTGACAGACTTCCTGCAAAGGAACAGATATCAAATATTTTTGGCCCTGTAGGTCACTTGGTCTCTATCATGACTGCTTCATTGCCATTTCCTTGCAGGAAACAGCCATAGACTATATGTAAATACAGAAGCACGGCTGTAGGCAAACAGGCAGCAGGCCAGATACACACAGAAACAGGCCCCTAATTACTTAAGTGGCTTGCCTTCAGTCCCACAGCTAATTTCATTACCAAGGTTGAGACAAAGAGGTCATTTACATCCAAGAACGGTGCTCATCAGACTATGAGGCTTTGATAGCAACATGTTTATTTATCATCCAGCTGAGGATATAAACACAAAACACTTCTTAATTTAAGGAGAATACGAAAACATCAGGCAATTCCTAGACTATTACTACAAACGTAGTCTTCACCTACAGTAAAAACTAAGGCAGTCAATCATTTTGGTCATCATCCCAGTCTTTCTTCCCACTTGGAGGTTTGGGCCCACCGGCTGGTTTTGCCATGATGATCTGAGAAAACAAAACCATAAGCACATACTTAAAACTAAACCTTTAAAATGAAGAGAAAGTATTTTTCTGAGGCTGATTCAGGATGAAGCAATCATCTCAACATAAGCGATCTGTTATAAACTGCATATGAGGCTCTATCAACATCAAGTTGTTAGCTTCCAGCAAAGCGTTTCCTGCTTTTATGGACATGAACGGCCACACGATCCACGCACATTAGTAAAGGGCATTTTGAGACACGCACTTCAAGAACTCGATGGCCCTGTGAGCCGAATGTGAAAAATATCCGCATGCATTACTAGTATAAATCCGTCAGCTCGGCACCTGATTTGCTACTTATATATGAAGTTCGTCTTGCCAACCATCTTTATCCCAATTTCCTTGTGGTTTAGGAGCTTTAGGTCCACCTGCCAGTTTTGCCATTATAATCTAAAGTGGTTGGTACATAAACAAATATGTATAAAAATTTAATACTGAAATTTCCTAGTACCTGTAAAATGAAAACCATTCAAGTGGTAGGAAGTGTGTATTCAAAAACCGTTACCCAAGTAGGTAGACTTCCCTGGTAACTTAAAAGAACACAGCAGGAAACCTCCAATTTATCTAGAATGCATTAACCGAGTACTTTGCAAATATAACCATCTAGCATTTTTAAAGGATTCGTTTGGAGAACAAAGCGGGGTGGTGGCAACTCTGGGTTCAAATAAATTTGGGAGAAGCTAAATTAGCTTCCTCAAAGTGGAACTCTCAAACTCTAATCTACATTCTGAATCTCAAAACTGTAAACAGTATTCTTTGCTTCCCAAATTGACAGGACTGAGATCTTTCTGTACAACATCAAGGGGTTGGGGATGTGTCTCAAGCAACACTAAATTGTAAAACGTCTTCACTACCACTTCCAACAGATTCAGCACCCCTTTTCAGAAGCTTCTGGAGGAAATCTAACCTTGAAATCCTCGAAGTAACATTTTACTAACTGAGATTAAGTTCAGACTGAATTAAAGGCACTAAGGACAATTTCAGAACCTAAGTGTAGCTTGATTAAAAAAGACAGCCAGAACAACAGTTCTCAAGCTGGAAGGCACCAATCATTGCAGAGCTTATTTGAAACACACTCCTGGGGTGCCCGGGTGGCTGAGTCAGTTAGGCATCTGACTTCGGCTCAGGTCATGATCTCATGGTCCGTGAGTTCGAGCCCCGCGTTGTGCTCTGTGCTGGCAGCTCAGAGCCTGGAGCCTGCTTCAGATTCTGTGTCTCCCTCTTCCTCTCCCCCCTCCCCTGCTCATGCTCTCAGAAACCAACATTAAAAAAAAAGATAATAAAAAAATAAAAAACTCCTGGCCTTCTTCCAGAGTTTCTAACTCAGTGGGACTGCTTAGGGGCCTGAGGATTTATATATAATTTTTCGCGTTCTTAGGTTATCTTGATGCTGTTGATTTGGGGACTGTATCTTGACAACTAGTGAAATAAACACTCGAACAAAGATGAACCCAGCTCCACATTATCCAACACTTAAAACTTGATTTACATGTCCCTTTCCAGACTATATACTATGCAAAATTAGTCAGAACTATTAAAGAGTACAAGTTCACTATAGTTATTAACCAACTGGTTATTGATAGTCATGGGTTCTTCAGGATCATGTATTTTAGCAAAGACCAGGGAAACATAACAACGAACATCCTCTACTGTAAAACAGAGACTTCCCAGTTTAAAACCAAAACTGACAAGTGTCTTTGTGATCAAGGAACTTGTATTATTACAATTATTATGTCATTTGGGTAATGGACATTCAAAAAAGTTCCTCTATTAGAATTCCGGATTACCTCATGCTTCAATATACTCAGCTTCCCATGTCCCTTTCTATTTTAAGTTTCCCCTATTAGCCACATGCTAATTTTTAAAACAACCATTTCCTTAGGCTTCTATTATCATTTCAGAACTCCAAAACCGCATTCTTCCACTGAAAATTACCTAAATTTACTGATATAAAAACACCTATTAGTAAATCCAGTACATGAACATCCAATTTATTTCCAATGGGTTGAAATTGGACATCCAGCTCCATTTTCTGGTCATCTCAAGCTAGGAAAAAATTGTTCTTCCTCTTACTGAGATGGAATGTTTGCTGTAATTACCACGAACTAGTCCTTGTTATGCCTAGAGTAAGTCTAATTTCCTTCTCGTTTAGTTTTTACCTACAACTTGCTTCTCCCAAAATTAATTTGGCATGATTTCCACCTAATGGATCTGCCCTAGGCCCCTTGCAATTGCAATTTTCCATTAAGTATTTACAAATAGTTTATTGCTTAATAATCAGTTCGAGAAATCTGCAAGAAAATGGATTTCACTTTTACTAGAAAACATCTTTTTGAAAAACTTTGAATTCAAGCTTATATCTGAACCTACCATTTTCCTCTGTGCCACAATCTCCCTCCCACTACCCTCTTGGAAAAAAAAGGTCAAAAATACTATGATTTTTTAACACTTTTCTTTTAGTTCCTTCAAGATATAATTTGTCACACCCAGAAGAACTTTAAACACATAGATTCTACCTCCATGCACAAGTAGAGGTTTCGTTTTCCTTGAAGTTGGTGGCACACATGTGTTTCAGGGCTTTATGGGCCTTCCACATTCCACATTATTACACAGTAAACTCCCTCTCCAGACTGTTTGTATAAAGAGATCCTTAGGCTAAAAAAGGTCCGAAAACTATAAACCTTAAGTTTGTTTTAACGATTCCAGTTTAAAAATGGCAGAAGTTTCTTTCACTGGAAAGATCCTTTCAAATTAGTTGAAATATACTAAATACAATTTAAAACTGTAACAGAAAAAAATAAATGGGTGGGTGGGGGGGGAACTTTTAGAAACACACTTTTGAGTAGAATGAGAACTGTGCTATATTCTGGTTCCATAAAAATACACCACTGACCCACATGAAAATTAGTACTTTCAAAGATCAAAACTTCACTTGTAACTCACCTGATCCACCCTAAGTACAGTGACAGCAGCATTCGTAGCCAGTTTGATAGCCCAGTATTTTCCCAAGTAAGTGTCTAGAATACCAGCTTCCAACATGTCCTTTACAGCGGGAACTTCAGCCTGTTGGTACAAAACAATTTTCACTCCTTCACCCTAAATTCTTATGTGAAAATTAACTCAGTAACAAAACCCCAGGGCTCTTTGCCTGGAAGTTGCCAGGCAAAAGTCCTCTCCTACACACAATATAAAATAAAGACTATTTTAAGG